ATATATATATATATATATAGGATTGTCCAAAAAGTATTAACCCTTCTGAAGCCGAATTTTAAACCAATACTTATACATTAAAATAATGTCACTGATATAATTGTATCGCTTTTTAATCCCACTACTATGAAACTTCTATGGTTTCTCGACGAAAACATGTGATATGAGATCTTTGCAACCATACGTTGAAACTAAATTCAACATTATTACTATTAATCAAATTAAACATTAAAGAAGTTCTGTACCAATTGAAGTAAATGATGCTCTGATAGGTGCGCATATATACTATTTCCGGTCGATTTTTTCAAATATGTGGCTTGTTTTAACCTCCGTTGCCAACAGTAGAGGTCCGAATCAAACGTTTAGTCAAGTAACAGCAACTTACAATGCACGTTGTTTTTCTAGTAGTACCAGTAACGTATCAACATGAACTTTTTTGACATCAGTAAAATTATAGAACATTTATTTTTCTTCATTTGCGCATTAATAATCCATTTTTCATCACCCGTGGTTAACCGCTTCAGGAATGATTCTATTTCATTGCATTTTTGTAGAGCTGGAAATATGATTATTTTTTTTGCGTCAGTCCTTGTAGCACCCAAAGAGCTAGCTGTTTTTTGAAGCCAGTTCTTTCAAATTATTTAAAACTGTTTGGTGGTGGATGTTCTGCTTCTTGCAATGCTACGGCTACTCACGTATCGTTCTCGCTCCACCTTTCAATTTCATCAACTTTTTCTGTAAGTGATGGATCTTAACAGGACCATGTTTCACACTGAATCTTCCAGGATGAAAGCGGCAGGATCATTTTTAAACCTTTTTTCTCATAGCGCATTTTAGCCGTAAACAGAACCAATTCTTTTATGGGTTTGGGTACCACGTTTGTCTTTATCGTAATAAAATTGTAAAATATAACGATTTGTTTTATAAAAATTTGACTCGTTTTCAAGGCGCTCTACCGTAAACTTGAATAGAGGCATCCCAACAAGTTTAACACATCTAATAATGCAAAGCCTCCGCTTTTAGATGGCCCTGCCCGATGCGATTTATATTTCATGACAAATGTGACTTTAAATTCATTTAGCTAGAAAAGTGGTCAGAACTTTTTTTGAAAAACCAATATATATTTATGAATATGAAGACTAAGAATAATATTATTGGTGTCGATTGTCACAGCGAGCAGATAAGATGATTTTGTCGAAGCTCCGTGGATGAAAGTAGTAATTGTAGTTATCATAGCGTGGCGTCAGCGTTAGAGAACGGACAAAGAAAAAATGCGGTCGTCGTAGAGCATGACTTTCAGGTTATATAACCATTATCGCAAGAATGCGACAACTTTACTATCGATTGTGAAGCAGCTCTTGCTCCCCAAAGACCAATAACAAAGGGTTGATTCGGTGGAAAACTGACAAATGGTACATGTCATTTTATTTAGTCGTCTATCATCCAACAGGAACGAGACGGCTACAAGCATCTGAGCATTAGACACACAAACAGTCGTCAAGGGAACGACGAGACTGGGGTGTACGAGTGCTGGGGTGGTGTGCAGAAAAATCCTGCGGTCTCTTGAATTTAAACCCCCAAACTGACAGAAAAAAATCGACGTCCACAACTGGAATGACCGTTGGGTGTTCTGTTAAACGCACCAAACGATGATCTGATAAGTGATTCTTGGCTAAACGAGGTACAGATCGCGTTTAAGTTGGACTAGCATTCAGATTTACACGGTTCATATCATATCAAAACGTAAAATTGTATCACCTTATTGGGCTGTGAGTACTCTAAGCGATGGTGCGCACTGGAACCAGAGCCATGGGCTGTGTACAGCAGAACAAAAACGATGACGATACATTTCCGTAAGCATAGGTCATACTAATGAAAACTATGGTGAAAAAAACTATCTAGCGTAACAATCGTTCGCCAGGCTCTCCCTTTGCTATTTACTTGGATAGTTATATTTCATCGTTCAGAACTTGTTTTACCTTTACCGTAACGCTAAAATACATTCGAATAGCGTTGAAGCTTTAAATTATAATAATTTTAGCAACGATTAACAACTATAAGAGAGCGTTGAAGTTGCCGTTTCGCTATATCTATGCATCCTTTTATATTTTGTAGCGCAGATTCAAGAATAAACAAACATTTTTCGCATGACTGCACTATCGAAGAAGGCGTCATTTGTTCTTTTTTGGGCGGAAATCAACCCAGTCGAGATGCTAGAATTGACGTACATAAGGGGCCCGGTTGTTGTACTACCGTCACTTGTTCGCTTGTCACTTGTAGCTAATCCCACTTTATGTATCTGCTTGGCTGCACTCACCTTTGGCCACAATAGCTTTTCCTTGTTTACAAATCGTCAGATATACCTTTGGAATACCTTTACACAGAACCAACTTGCGACATATCGACATTTAAAGATACACCTATGTTTCATCTATATTTAAAAAGCAGTTTGCGGCCGGTGGCAATGAATATAAATAACATTCTACACAAAAGGATTTCCAACAGCTTCAGGTGAAATTCGTTCTTGAATCACGTCTAATCAAAACCTAGGTTGAAGAAACTGACTCTGCTCTATCTCTCCAATCCGGTCAGACTTTTTTAATGATATTCTGTGGTAAATAGCCTATCTAGGCCTTTACTCGAAATAAAAGCAGGAGGAATGGTGCTCTTATAATTGCTCATCTCTACAAGATATATAACGCAACGGAAAAATGTAACATTCTTCTTCATCTAATGCGTAATCTTCATCTTGCCAGGCTGCCTTTAGCGACACAGATTAAGGTACAAACCAAATTATTTAGTATTTTATCGAGAATACCTCACTTACGTCAGTGACATGCCATGAATAATCACTTTAGGAAGGAGACCGATTAATTAATAGACTATATAGACTTCTGTGTAATCCTAATAGCTGCCTGTTTCCTACAGCTGACAAACTGATCGTTGGGGAAGGCATCGACAGAGGGGGCCTAAAACAGATACGTTTCCTGTATTCACCCCTCAGAGTTTTTAGAGTTGATTTTACAAGAAGAAAATTTGTATCGATAGCAGTTCGGATTTTGATATTTGTAAGAGTAAGAGATTCACCAGCTTTATCGAATATATGAACACGCCCTCCACTTATACTGTCAAACACACATAACAAGTCAATTTGGTCAACCTCCGCAAAAATCGCTGCCAAGAAGCTGTTTGTTTGGTAACTTTTTATAACGAACCAGGTGACATAACGTTGAATCGTAAGGCATTACATCAATGGTGCGTCCGTGAGGTACACTTGACCACCTCTCGGAGGATAACAGGAATTCGCATTTTAATGTAAATAATATACAAAAATATGCTTGGTCATCTAGTACACGGTCATTATAGAACAACTCGCTTTAGTACCAGACTACTAGAATCGAGTCTAACGGCTTTTTATAAAATGATACATTTATCGTATTCTTTTTTGGCAAAGGCCTTGGGTCGTGTGCGTTGACTCGTACATAAAATCAATTGTATAGGTTTAAATCGAGTTGGGATAATGCAATTCAATTGTTTTGGAAATAGTTTGCGCTTTTCAGGCTGAGAACTGGCACTAACAAGAAGTGTAACGTTTTTAATCAGCGCTTATCTAATCCATGCATGACAATACCATGCAACAGGCATTCTGCGCCTGTATATATATTTCAAGTTGTTCAGTGAACTGACATTGAATTTTATAGAGTAACAATGAAATTCAAATGAACCATTTAGCTTTGTGTATAAGTCCTGGTCAGAGGCACTTCTGAAAATCCACCTTCTAGCTACGGTGTAGGTCAATGCGCAGTTGAAATGATTCAAGAACAAACATGTCGAGGCCAAAAATTTTATATTCTTTAAAATTGAATACAACTAAGTGATACTAACCTTTTATTTAAACATGGCAGTGTGCGTGTAGCATTGTTGCAAGGTTTTACATGTTTTTCTTTAGCCCTACAATCAAAAAACGGGTGGTGAACTCTGTCCTTTACGTCTGGACTTTATTCGGATTTCCGCAATCAATAATACCGGCCATGGTACAGAGAACTGCCACGTATGCCGCCTTTACCCGTAGTTGTGACGTCAATTCAGTAATAGGAGCTTGATCCCTAAACGTTACCGCTGGAAGCTCCCGAAAAAGTTTCAACTGGTCCACTTCGTATTATTACGGACTATGGGAAAATTAATCAATTAATCGCCAAATTAAGGTAACAACGTATCGGATAAAACTAGATCAGCCCATAAAAAGCTTGTGAGTCAAAGTAGGTCAGACAAAAAAGTTATTACTATAATGATCTCATTGTCCTTTAATGACGCAGCGATGGTAAGCTTCATCTAGCCCATCATGACAATTATTTCAATGGCAAGTTTAGTGCTTGACTGTATCTTTAGACATCCAACATGCCTTTGGCTCGAATTCCTGCTAGACTAAAATAACATTTGAAATTATTTCGCTGCTTATAATAAATATTTTCAATCAAAAATACAGATAATCAAAGAAAACGACGGCAGATTAGAAACCCAAGTGCTGTTGACAATCTGCGATGCAGATCTAGTTGAGTGGTAACTTTGCGCAAGCTTCTTCTAATTGAGCATATTAACTAAATCGGTGAATCTTATACAAGCGTATAATGTGCATGTGTAGCTATAACCATTTACATCGCACACCTGGGAAGGATTCCCGATATCTCGTTTTTTTTTGCTCAAATATATTTTTCTGTAGCCGGCTAAAATTTGCATACTATATCGTCAAAAATAGTTCATGAGTTTTTTTTTTGTCTTTTTGCCTCTCCAGTGTCTCGTTTACCTATTTATGACCAGATGCTAAATGCCGTAATCTCTACAAACCTATCCTAATCAGGTTGTTCTCGTCATGCTTCACTTTTCTCCGACCCGCGCGTCCGGAATCCCATATTGGTTGATAAGAAATTTGCTGAAGCAAGCAACAAACGCACGAACTTTTTTGACGATTGTGTTTAACCCAACAAATAACGACTACTTAATTAAAGAACATATAACAATTCAAAATGTATTTCACGTATACGAAAATCGTGTCATATTAGCTCCTGTAGGTTGATCACAGCTTTCTTCGTTAGAACAATATCGGTCTTTTTTAACCTTTATTATAAATTTTTCCAGAACATACAGCAAAGCGATGTATTACACCTATGTAATAAGTCCATAATACAAAAATTTTAAGTCCATGAATCCATTACTGTATACCAACTTCTATCATTGCTTCGTAATAATAAAGTAAAGGGTCAAAATAAAAATGCCATACCATCCACCACCGTTCACCAAGTTATTAGGATGGAAGACAAAATTGTCACTGAACTAAAAACACGAGCCTTTTGTCATTCATAGTTTTGTCTGCAAGATCGGCACATTCACGATATTTAAAACGAACCACAACCATTATATTCGATTGGCAGCGAAAAAGGATACTGCCAACGGCTACGTTTAGCGTACCTCACATTGGCCATGTTCGATTGTCACTATAAACATGGAAGTTGGGCAAATAATTCATATGGAATACTCATTGCAGTTACCTGGCGCCTTTCAGTTACTTCGCACATAAATTCAGAGGACATTGCTGCTAAGAAGTGCAATTATTTTTCTAATACTGTGTGACAAATGACATCGGTACACTGTGCATGGGCGGCTGAAAGAGAGCCACGCGTAAGATCCATTCAGAACTTGTTGCGTCTTTCCACCATCGAGATGAGCGAGTATTTTGATTTCATATAGAATTAGTTTTATATACATCTTGGTGACTACATAGTCACCAAAATGCACGAGTGTAACATTAGAACGCTGTACCGGCAGTCGATCGTCGTTTTCGTTGTCGCCCAATAACATACATCACATGGTAATATCTACACAGGTTTTCTGGTCACTATAGCTTGATGCCATTCTTTTTTGCGATTCTGCGAGCTTCCTCTGCATTTTTCTTGGATTCATCATCCCGATTTTCCATTTGAACGCATTTTCGAAGATAATCACTTGCTTCTTTATTTTTGCCCATCTGCACCAAACACTGCGCTGCCATAAGGAAGCATGTCGAAAAGATATCTGCCTTCACTGACGTCCCATAGCCGGAAAATACCGCACAAAAAGCAAGTGTTACTATTGAAAAAAAAAAACTTTCATTAGTTTCACATAGTATATTATTCAGGGCCTATTCAGATCAACTGAGCTGAAAGAATTATTGTCAGAAGATATCGGCCGTAATATTATGGATGCTAGTTACGACAGGTAGAAATTAGCTGCAGCTTAACTTTCATAGTCCTTCTAATAGAATTTAAAAAAAATAAATTGAATAAAAAATTATATGCGTTACGAAACAACTGTCTATCGCCGAATCCAGTCTGGCGCTGTGTAATGCAAGCAGAGTACGAAGCGCGCAGTATATTATGTATTCTCTTGAACTCTCGGCATTGGTTAATATTAAACAGGAAATATTTAAAAATCTTTCCTGCATGGTTAGTGGCAAAAATATGTTCAGGCGCGGATGGCAACTCGACCTACATCTTTCAGCATCCTTGAAGTGTTCAAGTGCAATCTCGTACGTGGACTCTGGAGGCGAAGCAAACAACGCGGCGGCAGCCTTCTTTTTATACCATGACACAGATGCCACCTGAAACAAAGGATGACAGATCATAACATGAATTTAGTATAAGTACATCTTCAGCCTTTTTTAACTAATACGTCTCTAAAATTCTATCAGCCAATTCTCAACCTTTATGACCGATGAATAGCTAGGCGCCTCTTTAGCTGAGCTGAATTGAATCGGTTGACATTCATATAGTTTTATACTAACAGATTCAGGAGATTTTGAGAAATCCAAATACAGTACTCCTTTCAGGTTCCACAAAGCAAACAACTTTCGTTTCGTGAATATATCACTTTGTGCAGGATTCAGCCGACTGTCCGGATTAGCACACGACGCTTTACACTAGACATTTGAGTACAGGGTCAATTTCGAACCGTTATTTTTTTTTAAAAGAATTTTTCTTTTAATTCATTTGGTAAGGTAACTTTGTTAATTTTTTTCCAGAAGTTTTCGTAAACTTACTTGATAGCACCATTTCCCAAGGATATAATGAGCATATCCGTCGTCTGGGTTATACTCGATGGCCTTCTGCAATTATCGATGAAGTTTGTGCATTTAGAATAATTTTTAGACTGATCTAATCAAAAACGTCTACTTCAAAATTGATCTAATAGAATATATTCTTAATTCATAGAACCACGAACTTATTTTACCAACTGTCAAATTGCGAAAAAGGACAAAGCAAAAATTGTTGAGATATAATAGTCCAGTGTGCATTTCCAGTATTCACCAAATCAAACAATATGCACAGGAAGTTGGAAGATTACAATAGCTAAAAAAGCATTGATAAAGACGTCCTTTATGAGCCTAATAATATACAGTTAGGTGCAAACACGTAGAACAAAGGTAGGATATTACTGATTCACGTTTTGACCATATATATTGGAAAATAGTATTCTACAAACCTGAAGATGATCCCTAATTAGAAAAGCTTCTTCAATTTGCTCCTTGAACGTGGCATGCTGTTCCTTTGAACCCAGAAGGATCGCGATCCATTTGTGCGTGTTTGGACACTTTGGATTTTTCTCTAGATTAGCACGCAGCATTATAACTCCTTCCTTAATAGCCCGCTCCATTTCTTCCGCTCTTCCACTTTTCTCAGCCACTGAAAAGCGGTTTTGAAGTTATTCACTTTAAAAATTTGCTAATGTTACGATAAACATAATTGACCATTTTTACTTCAGTTTCGACATTACATACCCATTAAGCAAAAGCTTTAACCAAGATGTTTCGGCGCTTCAAGCTCGTTGACGCAGTCGAGTCCCTATCTTCTGAGAGCAATGTTTCAAGTTTCGTCCTGCTTTATTATAATAACCACTGAGTTTCTGTATACACATTTAAAAAAACATAACTTAATTACGCCATAATTTCGTTCACAATACAATTATGATGTTCACGATGTGTGTGTGTGTGTGTGTAAAATAACTGAGCGTCACATAACACGTACAGAATCGTGATGATTTTGAAGTTACCTTTCCACTGCATGCGAGCAACTCTCCATTGCACTTCTGGATCGGGATCGTCCTTAGCGACCATAATAGCTTGATGAGCTTCTATTATGTTTCCAGCTTCGTACAACTCGTCGCACTTCTTAACAGCGTCAATAGTTGTCATTTTGGCTCCGATCGTGAAACTCCACGCGGTGGCAGGGACCGACGATATGAAGAACGTCCGAAACTGTCTATTATGACGGTTAAATCGATTCCGCCAGATGTTCACCTGAACGAATGAACAATGCGAACAATCTCAGTTCAAAAATCACGCGATTTATGTAAAAAATTAGTGCTGCGTTTTGAACGTAAAAATAATCAGATTGAGCTACACGAGCTGACTAAACAATCGCACGAATATTTTAATTCCACGATGAAATAAGCTTAAACCAATTAGTACCTAGCCGAACACGTCTGGAAGTCTTCATATAATCTAAATGCTCTGCGAATAATTATTCTGCATCAGCATAAAACAACTTTGCTAACGAACGATGTACGACCGGTAGAAGAAAGGACACTTTTGACTGTTGAAAATTATAAGGCTCCAACGAAAGATCCGAACCCTCGTTTTGCATTTTCAGGACTCGTTTATCTTTCAAAAATACGCAGAACTCGACTTTGTTTGTTTGCATGTGATAGTCAGCATATAATTGAATATTCGAAACTAAATAACAGACGATAGAATTGATTATCGGAGATTCAAACGACAATCTGTTTTTGCAGCAATGAAACTATCGAATAGTTTCAAGTTAGAAACAGAACCTTTCCGTGGGCACAGAATTCATAATAAGCGACGCTAATACACACAAGCCGTTTCAACTTTTTGGTTGACACTAATGAGAAGAACCAAACTTTGCTCTTCTGCTATGAATTCAAAAGCGTACACAGGAACTAAGATCGATTCGATTGCTGCATTCGGCGTAAAAGCTAAGCTCCCCCCTGAACATCCGTTTTGAAAAGAAGTATCAGCTCTAGTATACGTAGAATACGAGATAGTACGTATTAACAAAACTTGACACCTGCTAAAATGAATGATGTTTCCTCAGAGAGAAATCGAAAGCAATTAAATTGAAAGCTTTGCTGAAAGCAACTTCACTTGAAAACCCCTCACAACTTTGTGCCTGTCTTTCTCGGTGTACACCCATAAACCAATAAAGACACGCAGACATCTTTGCTTGATAACCGTATGTGGTGGAAGATGATGTCACCCTTCATACGCACGTCACGACGACCTTCGAAATGGAAATAGTGGCTTTTTGTTTTTGAGACAATACATTAGGTGCCAGTTTGTGATAATCTGCCGCCACGTAGCAGTTTGTCGTTTAATGCACTCACGGTGACTGTCACACGGCGTGACGCCACTAAAAGAAACTCACAATGGATATTGGAACAACAACACCTACCGTACAACCGGACAGTGTGTTTGCAAAATATTTCGGTACTTATAATCGATCGCACGTGTAAACAACAGCATGGCGAATACACGTCTGGCTATTTTCAAGAAGCTGTCATATCTGCATTGCAAAATCCAGATTAAGCCATTACCTGAGATACAAGTACGCTCTGAATAACAAAACAGTTCGACCTAGTTAAAAATTAACTTTTAACCTCAACGATATTATTATATACTATGCCAGTGCGCGAGAATGAGTGTGTCCGGACTATCGATCAAAATGGTAGAATTTCTTATTTTTTCTTGTAAACTTGACCTGACTGGAAAAGTGTAGTGGGAAGCATTGTTTTCATCTAACGTTACTGGCATTCGCCGTCATCCACGATTGAGTGTCGTCAGCAATTTGGTTTTGCCAATTATTACTGTATCAGTTTCATCAGATATTAGGGTAATGACTAAGCCTTTTAATATAAATTCTGGATTAGTCAACTATCAAAAAGATGTCGAACCAAGTTTTTTAATGTGGTATCAATAAATGTTTCCTCTCTCACCGCTCCTCAACCCGAAAATATGGACCTTTGCTTTTGCACAAAAACAATTAAGCTGAGAAATATAACTAAGCTAAGAAAGATAGATTATTAACTCTCTTTCTTCGGAGCTTTTTGTGGTACATTAAAGCAATAATTAACAGCGCCGTACAACTTCTGCTTCGCTTCTTTAGGTGGAGAAGAGCCTGTTGATTCTGTTATGAGTAAATGGGTACGCTTCAGCCTGGTAGCGTTATTTTCTAGTATCTTACAACAGAGGGACATTAAAAGAGCCAACACTGCCGGAATCAATGGGTGCATATATCGCTTAGCCACTGTGGGAACCAAAACATTCATGTATACTATAATATTTTATACGTTGTCATCAAGCAATTAAGACGTTATCTATTACGGGACTCGAACCAATAATTTAGACCTGTCTGCAGTGGCATCGGAACATTCTCTAAGCGTAGAACGGCAACAATAGGTTATATACGTCATCTGTATACGTGATCTAAATAGTTGGTTTTCTCATCGAGAACAATGCGATATGGCTTGAAATCATTCTATAGGAAGTAGTACAGGTGCAATCTTTTCTGTCAACTGCTAGATCTAACCCGCTTTCCAAATTAACGCCATCGACCACTTACGCATTAGATCTAGCATCTATACAAACCTAAGAGCAGGCTTTGTCAAGGCATACTAACGATTTTTCTTCTGTGACTCCCTGTGTATAGAATGAAATGCTTAATACCGTTCGTGTAACAGTAAATAAAACTAACGGCCAAGTCATTTGACAGTCATGAAATTCAAACCGATTCCTATTTGAATAGCTTAAAAATCACCTCCGGCAAATACTAGTTTCATTATTTAATCACATTTGAATTGTAAAAGCTATTACTGAATTGCCAAAATAGATTGCGTAGAACACATATCGCGGCTGTAACTTTGTATTGATATTTAATATGTAACAGTAAGAATAGATTTGCTTTTGTTTCAGTCAAATGTATTAGGGTCATTCTATTTATGCCTTCTCTTTTACCACGAAGAAGGTAACGGCAATAAAATTAGAAAATTGCCATCAAGCTCCATCAGAGAAGTTCTTTTCACTGCGGTCACACTTTTAGAATAATTCTAAATCAAGACTATTTTCCTATAACTCGGTACGAAGGAGGAAAAAAGCTGTAGGATTAACATATTAGACAAAGTAAAGCACACTAGACAACGCCAAGTCATCATAAAGCGCCGCAAAGCACCCATACTGACTACAAAAAAGGTTAGAAAGTATGCGTCCTAATTTAAAATACTAAATTATTACTAAACATTCAAAAATGTTAATTTTCGGTCCAAAATAATATGGAAATGTGCCGAAATTCTGTGTAAAATATTTGTACTTAAATAATATAAATGCATACAATTAACACGTTTGAATTAACAGACAAAAGCCTGGCATACCTGACCCTGTTGGAAAACCTGGTTGGTTATTTTCAAACAATAATTTTAAAACTTATCCTTAAACAAGCCTTTATCCTTCGAACAATAAGCATTTTACTACTCATGCTGACCACTCATTGGAGTAGTCATGGACACCACTACTCATGTTGTTATAACATATTGACCACAGATTGTCACCTGCCGCCGCTTCAATCAGATGAGAGGCGGAGTACCCACACTCAACGAGTGAAGGCACTGCACACGATACATTATTGCAGAATACAACGTCAAACTCACTTTGGTGGACAGGTAGAACAAAATTACCACTTGAACTCACCACGGTTAAGCTGAAAATGGAGGCGTTGCCTGATTGGACGTAGCTACGTGCCACTGATCCAATGACGCGAGAGACGCCTAATAAGATCCGAGGTCTGACCGCCCCCACTCTGAAGAAGCCCGGTGCGATAATCCACATAGCGCCGGCCTGTACTCACTCGCAGATCACAAGTACAACCAAACCTATGGTACTTACATCAACAACAACGCACAGCATATAGGTACTCGTTACACCCTCACACAGGCCGACCGGACTCTCGTGGAGCTCGTAACGACAACACAGGGAGACACAGAGAGGGAAGGATCGCGGAAGTGCTCAACAATCATAGGATACAACAACTTCAAGGGACAACAGGCGAACGTTGAGCTCGGGAAAAACAATCGCAATTTGTTACTTCAGTCGTTAGCTAAAAGCGGCGACGGCGGCACCAATGATAGAGCGGCGGCACCAATGATAGAGCAGCAGCACCTTGCAGCCACACAACCACGATTCCTTAATGCCGAGGCAAATCTCACGTCAGAGAAGAAAAACTGAAGTCCCACATCGGCAACTATGATACCTCCATCACTGGTGCTGCCCTAGAACACAACGACAGTTTCAGGCAGTCGGCGACGGCAGCAGAAGCGGGTAAGGAGAAGCTCTTTTTTTTTTTTTCGCTCGCCTTAGCGCACTGTACCGTGTCAATGACTGCTGCTGTGGATGGTGATCGCTGTCTGTGTTGTTATTGGCCAGGCGAAATGAGACAATCTTCTTTGACGTTATCGGCAAATAGGCCCCCCAATGTGGGTGATTGACTAAGTAAAAATAAAAGTACTGTTAGTAGTATTGGGGAGTGACGTGCACCTTTTTGCAGGTTGTTCTGGCTAGATAGATCGCTGGCGTCATCGGCGACGTTCCCATGCTTACCGTCAGCTGCTATTACGCCTATAACCCGATCAGCCATTTCGAGCATTGTTACATGATACACAAATGAAAAAATTTAGTAGCAACGATTCTAGGATATTTTTACATATGCATGATTATCTTACGTTTTGCATGATAATGAGAAAAGAGAAAAGTATAATCGAATGCATACCTTGTTCTTTTTTGCCATTGTTAGTTGGGTTAACACTGAAAATTTATAGTACTTTTTTTCTCATTTAAGAAAAAAAAATAGAAAAGAACATGAAGTTTATGAGGATTGCTTTGCGGATTTACCTCTTTCACAATATCTAAGTAATAGTAAACACAATGGAATTACCAGTACGCCATTTTTGGTGTCGAAGTTATTCTTGGCTCCATCCTAAATTGCTCTGTAAGACGTAGACAATAGAACCTAGCGACAGCGGTGCAAATGAAACTGCCCGCATTTATTCCAACAACATAATATCATTATATGTATAATCTTTTCACAGAATGAATACATCATGACTATAGTCAGAAATTACTCGAATAGGGATCTGTGCTCTTATAATTAATAGTTCAATAAAAAAGCCATCCATCCTTTAAATTTACACATGTTTTATCATCGATCAAAGGAACGAAATTCGAGGTACTATGACACTAAATGCCGATGACTTGAATAAATGGACTTAAAAATACGTTAAGATACTACATATAGCATAGATATTTGTATAATGTAATAGTCGTTCAACTTTTGAGATGGTCAACCAACAACAAGATAGATCTAGCGTTCTGATTTGCGGCGAAATTGAACATCTGTTTCCTGATGATATTTTTACGCTAAAAGGCCGTGTTAACCGTGTTGCTGCGTGCTGCAAATAAAGTGATGCTCTGATTGATTTATTGTATAATTGTCTTAATAAGTGCGCTAAGCTGACCTACAAGATAAATTTATCAAATCATTAATTTTTGCATGAAATATAGCAATGCTTTTTATATAAACATTTCTTGGCCACAGCTCGCTTTACTTGAATTCACTTGACAATAGTACTCTCATGCATCAAGTGAATTGCAGAAGAATGGTTCATTCAACTACTAAAAAAAGAAAACGAAACATGGTGAACTAAAAACTAACAAAGATTGTACAAAGAACGTGCTTGGTATCCTTCTGTCATAAACAACTTCGCGCAAACTTCATACATCGAAACTGAACCGTGCTAATCTTTGGGAACGAACGGTTAATCGCCTATGTACTGCATACTATTTTCTGAGACAGTGGGCATTTTGGTGTTTATTAGATGACCTTTTGAGGTACATTGACGTGGGCCTTAATGAAACCTCAACTCTGCTATAAATTGATACTATTATTATTGATATTAGCAAACTAACATCTAAAATGCCTTTCCTCTATACAATTATATAATTTATTAAGAAACATACATTTACCATAATTATCACGCTGGTGTGCTCTCCTTTTGAGGCCCTCCTTGGTTTTGGATGCTCTTAATAAATACAATCCAGTTCACTTAAACCCCACTCATTATTATTACATGATCACAATTCTTCTTCTTCAAGTTCTTTTTTATCCTTGCCTTTTTCTTCTTTTGTTTGCTTTTTAGCCCTGACCGGATGCGTCTAAAGGGGAATGTTTCTACATAACCAACAGATACAATTCGAACGAGCATTATATAATGTTTAGAACGACTTCCATACCATCTTAAATTTATACTTCCTTTACCCGGGCATGGTAAACCTTTTTGTTACCCTTCCCACTTACATCTCAGCCACTACCTAATTACCATCACTCTTTCGCTATATTTATCTATATTATATATATTTTCACTAATGATATTCTAAAAGTACAGTAGAAGCACAGACTCTGGTATCGGGTAATGTTGTGTAATGAGTGGGTAGCTATTTATAATAGATCGTCACGTAAATCTTTCTCATTTTCCCTTTACAGTTTTCCATTAAGTCTAAATAATTCGTTATAGTTTTAATAGCAGTAAAAGTAATAATTAGCCATCGTCGTTTTCTTTTATACATATACCACTCGTCTGATTCGCTTCTTGTTCTTACGCGATACAATAAAACGCTCATTTACGCTTTCTCCAGTTTTTTCCTGTTTTTCCTCAAATTTTTAAAAAGTCACATGTCCTCCTAGGGAGGAGACAAAACAAGAAATTGTTGAGCACAGCCGTACTGAGGTTTTTTCCTTTACTTCGCTTACGATCGGTGCATGCATGAGTTATTTTTATCAACTATCGTTGAGCTACGTAAGTTGTTGTTGTTGTTGTTGTTAGGTTTTACTCCTTATTACAAGCAAAAACCGCCTGTTCTATTAATTCAATAAACTAAGAATGATTTACTTGTGAATTATTGAGTAATCTGCTCGCGTTCTTAGGTCAGTCCCTGCGATATCGATTTCTTCAGTTTATCTTTCAGCTATTCTTTAAATCACATTCTCCCACTAAATATTCTGTGTGTCAGTATATGCGACGACTAATTGCGTCACGTAATCTAGTAATAGAATTTGATGCTCCATGCCGAATCCACATGGAAACCGGGTTTACGGACGGTTACGGTTTGCTCAGCATGAGCGAACTCCAAGAGTTGGTCGCCTAAAACACAGACAGAATAATTAGGTTAATGTTACACAAAAGGAGATGTTTTGAGTGCTAGCTTTTTTTTGCAAGACTTCAGTTTAACAGAAGAAGCAATAAATTTTCATGTCAGCAATGTGTCACTTTTAAATATAGTACTCATTGCTGATAGCAAATTCCATCCAACCGGAGCGAACATACTTAACCTATTTTAGGCAGAACAGCCCAAAAAGAACAGTGAATTCAACCTAATATCACTAAAAAAGTCAAAACAAAAAGTTTCGAATCTACAGTCATAACAAAGAAAAATAATCATGACGGACTAAAAATTTAGTTAAGCTTACCATAGGTAATTTTAGTGGGCAATTTAGGTACTCCAACGAGAACGATTCTTTCCACCCACGCAGGTGTTGTGAAATTCCCTGGGCCCTTGAGGAGCTGGTAATTGAGAACTCCATCGCGGTATTGTGCTAGCGAGTAGATTAGAGCTCCGGAACGGTAATCAAACGTCGCTTCATCGTCAATGTAAAGCGTTCCTATGGCAATGTCCAGACAAACATCAAGAAAAAAACTTAACTTCGTCTAGTTTAATATGTGATACGATATCTATATGTTGTACTATACAGTACTGCTCGTCTTTAGAACTAAGTTTTAACACGCTTATAAAGGTTCTTACCGTTGGCAGATGTGCCGCTTTTATCAAGTGCTATGGTAATGGTGTAAGGGTCTTTAGCTTGCAACGGTGAACTACGACGAACGCGTTCTTTAGTAAAAATTATTGATCCACCTCGTCGGAATACAGGGATAGAGGCTTGAGTTACTGCCTGTGTAACTTTGGTGCCACCCGCAAATTTCTGATGCGTCAAGTAATCATACCTGTTTCAAAGCACGTTTTTAGTCTTGTGTTGATTAGATAGTAGCACAGTGTGGTTCCACTTATGAGAACTGTATATTAGGGCCGAAGCATGGGCTTCGGGTGGAGGTTGTCGATCCTACAATCGGATATTGTGTTAACATGCACGTTGTCTTTCTTACATTCATATAACATTAATGACAACTAAATCAAGTCTAAAAAACATTTAGAGAAAAAAAACTTCCTTCAGGGCAGAATTCCACAGAATTCGACTTGACTTGATTTCATATAATATAATAGAAATTAAAGTCAAGTCGAATTTCTACTAACTCATCGCAAGATTACCAACTTACCAAACAGTGTCTCTGCCTGGGAAATAAATATCGATGCTAGTTGCACCCTGCGTAAGCACCGGCTTCACAAGTAAGCGGTCTCCCACCAGATGCGCATCGTCCATTCCAAACGTCTCCTTATCCATTGGGAATTCCCACCACAAAGGACGCATCGGCGGTTGTCCATCAATTTCATTTTCATAGAAAAGAGTGTACCAAAGTGGGAGCATGCTATATCTCATTCGGAGTTGATCCCGTAAAATATTGACGGTAATTTCATCGAACAGCCATGGCTCGCGTCGCCTTGAGTCGTGATGAGCGTGCCCTCGGAAGAAAGGTTGATATGCAGCCATCTGATTCCAACGGATCATCATTTCACTGTCGGGACTGCCAAAGAACCCACCCACATCTGCGCCTACAAATGTAATGCCAGATATCGATAGCGAAAGCAACATAGGAATCGTCACACGAAGGTGATCCCATGCTGCCATATTGTCACCTGTCCACACTGCACCGTATCGCTGAGATCCTGTAAAAGCATAGTACATTAAACACGTATGCGATGAGCGTTCACCAATAATGGAAACTATTTAGAACTCTGCAATACATACAAATAGAAAACACTTCAGTTGCAAGTGAACAACATACCTGCGAAGAAAGATCGGGAAAGCACAAATGGACGTAACTTGCCCTTGGAGCGGTACAAATGGCCTTCATACGTCGATGAAGTAAACATCAAACCATAAAGGTTGTGCACGTCTCGATGCTCGACATCGCTCACATGCTTACAATCCTTCTGCATTGTCACTTCGGGTCCGTTGAAGACCGAAGGTTCGTTCATGTCGTTCCACGTAAATAGCTGCTCCGTCGAGCCCTTGTATTGGTCCAAAGCAAATTTTTTTGCCCAGTAATCACGAACTTCGGGATTGAAGAAGTCTAGGTACGACGAACTACCGGGCCAGCACCAACCGTCATAGTCGTTGCCCGCTTTATCTTTGACGTAATAGCCTTTAGCCGATGCCTCCGAGTGTACATGATAGTTTGGGTCACGCTTAATGTGTGGATCGATAATAGTTACCATATGTCGTCCTTTTGCTGTCAGGTTGCGAATCATTTCTTCTGGCTTAGAGAACTTAATGCTATCCCATGTGAAGTACCTTTTGCCATCAGTATGCTCAATATCAAGCCAGATAACGTCCATAGGAATGTCGTGCTCATCAAAGCCAGCGTCAACAGCACTAACATCATCCTGATCATTGTAGTTCCAGCGTGATTGGTGATAAGCAAGAGAGAACATTGGAGGCAAAGGTGTTGTTCCTGTGAGCAAAGCATATTGTTTCGCGATATCCTTTGGTTTGGGGCCGAGCATAAAGAACACGTCTATAACCCCAGTTTCCGAAAACCAGTGAGTCTCACGTCGAGTCTCGTGCTTTTTATTACTAACAAAGTCAACAACAGATGATAGCACTCCGCCGGCAGGTGATTCAATATCGATCCAGGTCTCACTTGGGTTTAGCCAGAGAAGGCCAACAGTTCGCTCCTCGTTGTGTCCAATCATCACGGGCACGGTTCCGTACAACGCCATCGGGTTATTAGTTTCGTACTCGAAAACGTCTAAATTGTACATTCGGTACGGATCCGTTTTTTCTCTGCGTAGAGACAAACGATGTAATAAAATATCAATAAATAAATCAGGAAATGAGTCTTGATCTCCATTAAAAAATCATTTTTTAAAGAATTAACTAGTGTACGATAGAATTAAATAGAACAAAGTTCACAATTCCAAGCGGATCGATCTCTACCGATACTGGTTTGCTTGGCCACAAGAGAACCTTTTACACGTACAAGGGAATGATTTGATGAGGGTATTCAACGCCAACTCAGCAATCTCCTTCCAAACAAAATATATCTATCTCCTAAGAAATATGTTGGCACCAACCATTTCACAGCAAAGCCGCAATCAGCAAAATTTTATAATTAAAATCTTTGCGAAAATCCTACTTAGTGCACGCTTACAGGCACACACTAAAACCCATCACCTGCCACTGCAATTGATCCCAGGCGAAATATGCAGTCTAATAAAATTCGTTCGATACTGGGGTTTGCAGCGCTAAGGAACCAAACTTGATTTAGCTTGCCACCAACGAATTACAAAATTCAAACACTTACATAGGCACGCTCTGATTAGTGGCTGTTTTACTGCTTATGGCCGACCCGCTGTCCCTTTTGCTAATGTCAGTAAAATCCAACACAACATTCACAAAAAACAGAAAACAACAGAAATAACAATAGCAACGATAAAATTGCAGGCCGAGTAAAGATACAAGTGTAAAAAATCAACATGTACTAGAGAAATTATATTAAAGGTGACAGATAACACCAGCCGGAATTACAGAAAAAACTCACACCGTTCATCCGCCTGTAAACATACAGAAACTAGGAACTGCGGTCTACCACTACAATCGCAGTCATACTCTTATTTATATATCATCATTAAAGTATTAGAAAACGACAGAATAATACTAAAGGTAATATGCTCGGCACACACAACAGTTAATTTTAAAGTGTTGTCAATTAAAGTAAATCATACGGAATTACCTGAACCATAACGCAGGCCATCGAGAAGTGTCCCTTAATCAAAAACGAATAAGAGAAAAACGAGGCAGAATGACACATTCGTTCAACTAATAATACCCACACTTATGGTCAATCATCATCTGTTTCTCCTATTATAAACGTCCTTTACCGATATACTTACGTTGCAGCTGTTGTATTACAACATGTCCTAAAATTACGGAAGATACGTTGCCATTTATACCAGTCATCCGGAAAATGAAATTTACGTATACTGGTACCTACAAAATGGGAATCTACGCGTAACTTTTTGATGGTATTTTACACAAAAAGCATATCGGATTTGTTTGGTTTGAATTCGAAACATTTTAAAAAGCAGAAGTATCATACGTATTGATATTAGCTATGCAAAAAATGAAAATCAGGCCGGGTTAGATATGACGAGTATAAAATCCGATGGTCCAGGTGATAGTCCCTGGTTTGATAAAGATCTTCTATGCATCTATTTCACGGCAAAGTATGGTGAATATTGAAATTGTAAAATGCAGTGCTCGATCTGATATGAGACAGCCATAGAACAACAAGTGCAACTTCACGCCCATCGATACAGATTTTAGTTAGCCTGGTCTACCTGGACAGACGGAAACTGTAATGAAATACTTCGTTGGTCTTAAGATAGTTGTTTTCGAAATTTTTGATTTATGATCAACTTTGTGAAAATAATATGTCAATAAAAGAATAAGTACGTGAACGGATATCGACTTTCTTTGATTGATTCAAACTCACTTTGTGGGTCTTAGGGCGAAGCTATCAGCATGCTCGGGCAGTCCATAAACGAAAGTAAAATCTTCAAAAGTAAAATCCATGCCTACAGACATCGGGCCTCGGGGTTTCGAATCTATGTGACCTTTAAAGTTCTCCTCCCAAGCACCATCCAGATCTTCGCCTGTCTTGTTGGCTCCTGTGAAAAAAATCACAGGGAAACGCATTTCAATTTATCATCTAATTTTCGCTCAGTTACATATGCACTCTATGACAGCAGGGTTATTGTTAGACACTGTATTAACAGCACCGTTAGCGTGTGACGTCGCTAGCGATATTGCCTTCCGGAGGGTCAGGCGTTCGTCGTACATGTTCGTGTACGCATGTCGATGCAATTCATATAGAATCAACAAGCTCTAATTTTATGTTATGCTGTTACAGTCTAATTGGCTCGATTATATTACTCTGGGAAGTGTGACAGTATTACCTTCATGGGCATTTTCCGAATTGTCCTTTTCAGTGTCAGCATTGGCGTCGATGTCCTTCTTCGCCTCACCATCCTAATCGACAAAAACACATAAATAATACAAATCCACAAAACGAGAGAGTAGACTATATAAAGACATGCAACAGAACCCCTTAACCGTCTACATTTACTGCTCTAGACATGAACAAAGCGCTCTGCGTCTTTTGAATACGTGTAGAATTATTATCAATATGCAAGATATTCAGGTACCTACTGGCTGTCGCTGCACATTTAAGGAAAAAACTATGTCCCATGCAAATTCTTGTTTCGCATGCGGCTTAAGAAGCTCACTGAATTTAAATGCTGGATCACTATCAGCCGCTTATCTCAGAGTTCGATTGTCATGAGATTTCAAACGAGAAAAATAAATACTGTACTATAACGGCTGTTGAAATCTGTTAAATCACGCACCTAATGGATGTCGAAAGGAGTCATGCATCCACTTAATCAATTCGAAATATGAGTGGTATTTTCTGTGCGGCGAACGTGTGTGCGGTCACAGTTCATACCCTCCGTGAGCTATGGACCCGCCAACTTCATCCGTATATTGATCATGCAATACAGCATTATCCTTTCTTCTTGCCGTACGGATTGAAACGAATCGGGCTACAGCTACTAGCCCGATTCAGGTACGCAAAGAATTGATAGTATTTAAGTTAAATATGCTACTCCCCGAGTTTTCCCATTTTAACGCAAAAGCAGAAAAACCAAAGCATGCTATTTTATCTGGGTGCCCTCATTCGAAGCATAATAACTTAAACAGAGTTAGATTTTTTAGAGGGATGCAATTAGTGATCGTAGTATAAATATAATGTAATACCCAGAACTTTGAGAAGAATCCACCCGATAAGCTGGCTTTCTTTCCATCCTGACCCAGAAAGCAAGCAGTCCGAAAAACGTTTGAGGAGTAAAGAACACAGTAAATTTTGTCAGATGGATCAGCTGGTTGTATCACGACTCATTTTTTACGCATCAGAGGTCTTGCATGACACGAACACTGTGTTGTGTGCACGAAAGGCCGCTGGATTATATTTTCCGGATTTCCAAAAGGATAGTTAAAATGTAAAGCGCATTCTTAAATGAACATGCTAGTTGAGTGTCCGATACCAGTAAAGTTCCTGTTATCATAATCACATTTAAAGACCTTTTTTCGAACTATTACATCAAATATTTAGATGACACGGTAAGATGCGCTAGCATAGTCATACAGACAATTATAATAGAGCTATCCTTTGCACCGCGTTTTTGGTCAAATAGAAAGTTTGATTTGAAGCAACCGTTAAATAGCATATTTACTTCACTCGCTAAATGACGCCTAACTGTTTTTCTGAGGTTAAATTGACGTGAGTGCTTTGGAGGCATCTTCACCGCCACTTCTTTCTGTAGCAAAATAATCGCTCCAAAAATGCTATTCGACCAAACCTATTGCCGTCAAGTCTATTAGAGAGAGATTACTCGTTTTACTGCACAATGTATGGAAAAATACATCTAACCATCATTCGTCGAAACAGAAAATTACCATTCAAGATATGTCGAGTTGTGATCAATGATATGTCTATTCGGAGTCATTCAATCTAATAATCTTTTGTTATAATTACCTGATTCCTATGTCGACGTTAATGAGACAATAGACAATAGTACAATCTACTTACCACAATCTTCTCGCCACGTTCGTTATACTGAAAACGAAAGAAATGAATTCTATAAGCTTTATAATGTATGATATAAAGGAAAAGCCGTTTTGGTGTTTTTAGTTGCTTGAAACAACATAACAAGCGAAAAGTCCGAATCTACAAACAGCAGTAAATTTCTGCATAGACTCATACGGGACTCTTAATTTATTATGCCCGGCCGCTTATATTGTTCGTCTACTCACCGAAACTTTCGATGGGTCTACTTCATCATCTGCGTCCTTTTTTTCTTCTTCAGCCTTAGCGTTCTTTCTGTAATCCAGTAAAGTATACATCTAATTTGACAAATAATAGTAATTACATGGTAATAGTAATTTAAAAAGCAAAAAAGTCAAATGTACATTTCTAACGGAAATAGGAGTCGTTTATCCAAGCAATAAAGGAAGCATATGAAGTAAAAAAAAGCAAATTCGTCCATAATAATGGATCAACAGCAATACACATACCATAAATTATGGTAGCTTTTATCACAACAAAAAACGTCAAATAGTTCAAATGGTTAAGTTAACAAAATATATTCTTTAGATTTCAGGTAAACCTAGTTGCAAATAAACGATTTTGGTCGAACTATCGCAAACTGTCAAATCAAGTGAAACTCTCAGTATTATATCCGGCAATTTGCACAATAATTTTAATTGTGGGCTCTCTTTCTAACGTGTTGTATAGCGTCACAAAAATGTTTGTTCCTAGTCAAGTTCATTCAGAATTCCTTTACTGGAACATTTACCACAATTAATTAATCACTTACTTCTCATGTTCACGATGTCGATAGTGCTCGAACACCATAAGGCCACGCGCATTGCCAGAGAACACTAGGGTGTCTCTAGAATATACGTCAATGCGCAGCGGTTCAGCAGAAACGACTACTCGGCCGTCAGCTCCAAATGTGGCCTCCAACTTATCCTCTGTCTTGGATATCAACGTGATCCTGTATCATATTAGCCACCAACATCAATGTATTGTTTTTGTAATCTAACGTGTACAACTCATGCCTACCATGGACCCGGCAGAAGATAGTGGGAAAAAGGGAACCACAAATATTTTAAGATACAACGAGACGATGCTCTAGTCGAGCTTTCAAGAATACACGATCTTAACATTGCGATATAGAGATAGGAAATCACAATTTCTATATGTATTTTGGATTCTTACGGAATGTTCTTGATACCCGAACGAAGCGCTGGTAGTGCTATGTAACGCCTAACAGGGCAGTTTTTTTCATCGATGGTCATCCGAAGAGTGCCACCCTCGATTCCTTCAAGACGAAGCATGAAGGCTTGCTGGTTGTGTGAGTTAAGAATGTCCAACTCGACGTGACTTGCATCTTTCTGTTCGGCAGTTGTTGTCAATGCGATAAAGGGTGATTGGCCTGGCTGGAGACGACGGTTACGTCTGGAAAGAATATAACATATATAGTTAGTGAAAATAACAGCTGATGTGTAGTAGTGGTCATCCAGCTTAGAAACTGGATCAGACGTTAAGTCCGCGGTATCGCTGCTTCAAGTCCCTTAATGCGCATATACACAATGGTTGCCAAAAGTAATAAAAGATCATTAGGTTTTTCAAACCAACCCTATTAGACGAACTAATGGAAAGCATTTCTCAGAGGACTCTAATATCAACGGTCGCGGCGCATTCCACAAATGTTATGAACATCTGTGACATTATCGTCAAACCCTCACGCAAACTTCCTGCAGCTACGTTTCATTCAACATTTTCCCATTCGACTAGTTTCCAGAAAAGTATCCAAAACTATAAAGTAAATATTTCTTTTGTGAACTGATAACCACCAGAGGTGTGTATCAACTATTCAATCTCTTAATAACTGCTGCCATTCTAAGACACTGTGGTGTGACCTTTGATAACTTCTTAACCTAATAGTAGTAGTAGCTATTTTATGTACGATAGATTGAAAACCGTTAACAAATAAGCGGCACCTACTGTTATTGATAACACCAGATTCACGCTAAAAAACAAACTGAACAAGTTATAAGGGAAATCCGATTAATTGCGATCGCTCACATAAAAAAAAGTCTTGGAACTTAACGAGGAGCCAGTTTATACCATACAGGTTCACACGCTAATCTATAATATATATATCGTAAAATTTGGCTGTTCTCGGCAGGCACGAAACGGCACTGGGTGAGCGCATTTTCTGTTGCCAGCTCTCAGCATAAGTTAACAGCAAAACAGTACTTCCTTTTTAGAACAGGGTAAAACCTCTTTGATATGTACATCCGGACCGCAAGCAGGGAAAACGACCTTATTCAAGTCAATCACAGCAATACCCAATTGACAATGAATTTAGTTCTTCATAACCCAGTTAACACTTGCATCTTAGCATCGTCCAATGCGTACGCATTACTTATGCTCCTTCTTTTATAATTTCCTATTAATAAAATTGCGACAACCGCACACCAGAATAAATTATAATAATAAAAAGAAACTGAAAATACTTAGAGCTGGTATAGAGTTCACCTGGCTTTTATCCAATTATTAAGGTTATATCTATCTAACGTCTAGCAGTGATACGTACCTACAGAAGCCGCTCTGTTCGCACGTTTTGAAGTTAGACCGATCAACTGCGTACGTCACCTCTAAGAGAAGAGCAACGAGGACCGTCACGCAAACCGTGATGGCAGTGCCACTGTGTAATAGGTCTCTCATTCTGCAAACACCATAATGCAAAGATAAATACACTTTGTAAAATTAAGAGTTCACTCACAGTAATTAAAAGTAAACAGGACATATTTCAGTGCATGAATTTGTTACTAAGTTGCCTATATGTGCTAACCCAAACACCAGGCATGCATCTTTTACTCTGTATATCTGTGTATTATAGATATACAGCACTTGTTCTATTTTTATAAGACACAATTAACAAAAAATTATGAATACTGAACATTAAGTGTAACATTGTTTTATTGATACTCACCTAGATGATCGACAAAATAATTTACGTGAGTACAATTCAATTACCTCAGTCACGATTAATTGTTAGAAGAAAAATATCTATGATCATAACCGTCTTATTCTTGCTGTAAGACAATTACCTCGTAACAAAACATCACTAAGCGCGTTTTTCTGAAATAATATTCAAAAACAACACTTATCATGTCCTCATCAAGAAGGTGAGAAGATCAGAGAATGCCAAGACTAAGTCATAAATCTATCATAAAAAGCTTGTAACAGATATATTCGAACTTGATATGATTAGCTCTACCCACAAATTTCCGATAGATATTCACGGACTGGGTCTCGAAACATTCATACAATGGAACCTACGCATGGAAGACTGATACTCAACGGTTCGATAGATTTGCTTCTATATGCGAATAATCGGAGGACGCGTTACACGTTATCAAAGCATCATCTTGCACTCGTATTGTGCGACGCAAAATGGCGTCATGGAAGGCTGGAATATTGGACCAGTGGGACAAAATAGCATGCATCGAAAGATGCTATCCATTTCTTAAACCTCTAACAGGTATGTAGTATCTATAGATTAAGGCCTAATAAGCCTGACTGAATAAATCTCTCAAAGATTTCATTCATAAAGATGATACTATGAACTAACGTACTGAAAATGGTGCAGATTGGTACGTTCACAACCTTGTCCTAGAAAACCTTTGAACGTTCCTTAAAATCTCGCTTCTGTTTTTGTTGGTATTTTAATTCTTGGCGACATAGATCGCATTTAGTCCAAATTGAGTTATTTTTTCAACACAAAATAATGTAGAGTACACCATAGGCTTGATATAGTCAATAGTTTGAATCGATCTACCTTTTAGAAGCATTTTGAAAAACTTTCGTACACCTAGAGCTTCTTAAGCTAAGGCTGTCATTTGTAGCTCATGATGATTTTAATTATTGGGCCGACAGTGTAAGGATAAACTGGTAGTTGTTATATGAAAATATATATGGATAATGATCATTCGAGAAAGCAAGACGTATTTGAAACGTCGGCTATTACACAGTACAAGCAACATCCCAGTAAACCTAATAATAAGAAAACCAGTCCTTATGCTACTCACTTGATATACATAGTTTTTGTACGTTTCGTGCTACACTTCTATGTGTTGTTTCACAACAGTTCTAACAGATCGTTAATAGAATCAGTCTTCAAACTTAGCATCCACCAAACACATTCGAATACAGAAATAACGAATAGAGAATTTCTGAAACGCAATCACCATGTGGGTGAACTCTGCTGCCACCTGAAATCTTACTTTTATTTTATCATATACTTACCGAAGTTTATAAAGCGTATCGACCCTTGTGTCTAAAAGATTCTAAGTAATATACCCGTATATTACTTACAACTTTTTAGCAGAAATAAAAACACCTAGAAGAAGGATACGTTAAGATCCCTATGCACAGGGAAATTATTAAAAATAAGCAGTCTTATAATTATGGTTATACAAGAACCATAATCAGAATCAATGGACCTCATGAACTGAATCCCTCGAGCTGGTTTCGAATCTTTGCATCCCATAGGGTGACGACAATAAAAAAACCGAAGGCTAACCACGATGATTAGATCAACTCACTTCACTCAGAAAGTTAATAACCATGTGCAACTTTTACTGACATAGCCTGCTCGCGCCGCTAGCTTCGAGCACGAGTGCCATACTGTCGAACACGAGAAATATCAACCTCGGAACTTAGATCGTCTGTGGTCGCACAGAGCAACTGATGTTAACGTCAGTATGGATGGACCACGCACGCGTTATCTATAGACGGACAAAGTTGTCAGCAGTTCGAGACGCAAGATTCTACCCGGCAGCGACGACTGAGATGAGATCGATCACACATACCCACACATCTTTTTGCAGCTCTTCTCGACGGTCACCATTGCGAGCCGTGCTATTACAGCCAATCGATGCACTGTGCCGAGCGAATAATAATAAACTCTATTTGTGGCACTAGTGCGATTGTAAGAGAATGACTGCAAAAAATTTAGGAGACAATTCGACGAAATAGTAACTTCTCTATAGTAGAAATCTGCCCCTGCGTTTCCTATGCCGGCAACGATGAACCTTTTTCCAACATCTATTATTACATACGCAACGATACCTTCGTTATTGTCTGGTGTATCTGAAGCTTGTGATGTCAATGTGTGAACGGCATCACGGACGTAGTGGTTACGTTACAAAAACGAATAGGAAAAATATGAAGAGAGATCTGTGACGTATACTTACTTGGAGGCCGCCATGTTGGCACTCTAGCAGACGGCGCAAAATAGATGCGCGCCGGTTTTTGAAGCACAAAACTTGATACGTAAAGTATGCTCTGCTTGTAACCGTCACAGGTGAACACGAATGAGAGCATTCACTGTGTTTTTTTTTAAATACATTTATTGATTTGTTGGTATTACCTAAGTATTTATAATTTATTTTAGATAGCAAATGCTATTATGCCTCGGTAGAGCAAAAATATCCCACTTCGGTCATCTCCAAAACGTAAAGACTAAAAGCGTGTAATGATTATCTTTGTTTTCAGTCACCAATCTGTTTTTTGACTTAGACGCGGAAAAAATACGAGCACGCTTTAACGTGATTTGCGAGTGCAAAGTATCTGGCGAAGACAACGGCCTTCATCAGTTTGAACCGGGCTTAGCGAGGTTGTCTGGTTTGTTGATGCGCACAGAGCCGCTACTTGTTTAACATCAGTAATAAATCCAACGGATTCTTAGGAAGCACAGTGAGTAGCAATAGTGGGCGCTAGCGTGGGAACACTGATAAAACTTAAATAAAATGGGATGAGGTGAATTTGAATAGATAATGATCTCATGCCTAATATTGGCGCGGAAAATGTGGTATGTCAGACACTGTATAAAAGAAGAAATTACGTGAATAGACGTTAAAAATTTGTAAGTCGATCTGTTTTTTTTGCGGCGAGAAAAAATAGGTTAGATAATCACTAAAGGAAGTGCAGGCCTATCTTTCGTGTTACTATAAGAGATTAAGCAGTCTTCTACGTTTAGTCACTATCGATGAAATCTAATTTTAATTTCGATGCTGAAGGAAAACAAGCGGCCATCATGGTAAAGATCGGACTCGAACTGTGCGCTTACTTGGAGAATTTGGAGTCGCTAGCACCGACTGATGTGGCTTTCGTATGGTACTTTAAATTGAAGTGCGGAGCTTGTGGTGAGGTGCACGACAACATTGTGTCTCTTGAGCAATCAGAAAAACAGGTACGCACCTCTATGGTTTATGAAGTAAGAATATGCACACGAACTTTTATAAAAAGTTGTTTACAAAATTTAAGCAAATAAGTTCCAAAATTCCTGAATATTCAAGTACTAATGTCATAGTTTCAACCTTTTTTTTTTATTTTTCACCCCTTAGGCTATTCCGGATAAACGCGGTAAAGCAAATCTGGTAATTAAATGCAAATTGTGTCGACGCCAAAACACAATCGACATTCTGCCTGACACAATCAAACCGTACTCCGATTCCAATAAGTTCCAATTAATTGCTGGCTTCGAGTGTCGAGGCGCTGAGCCTATCGATTTCCATCCCAGGTAAATAACATCACAAACCCGAAGTCTGATTCTAGTATTCGCTATCTGATTTGGTGAACGTTCTGCGGCTGCTGATTTGGCAAAGTAACTTCTTGCGGACAAAACGGCATAGCATATCCGCTACTTTCACAGGCGATAAAACCAATTATTCTTGAAAAACTTTTTATGCCACAAACATACTGAAATCAGCCATGGCCTTTGCAGAACACATGATAGCTTACTAGTGCACTCATCTTAGTTTAACGGATGAGTCAGATACTGTGAAGTGATAGAAGTAGGTAAGTTCCATAATAAAAAAATTGTGCTTGGAAGCTATCGTTAAGTTTTCGGTCAGTAATTGACAACCTATTTCTTAGCACATGAGTTTTCCATCGGTAAATCGCAATGCGTTAATGATGTACTTGAAAGAGCTCGTTGGTACAGATAATGGTAGTGGTAATGATTACACTATAATTTACTACATTACCCCCCCCCCCCCCAAGAATTATTTTGGAGTACATTCTGTGGGTAGTTCAATGAATGAAAAGCACTACATCATTATCAGTTGTTATTATTACTTAGCAACATTAAGCCCATAAATATAAATCGCAGTAGGGCATATGCTATCGCAGCACGCGATGTTAAATTATTTGTATTTTAGATCCAAAATGTCTGTATAAACTCTAAAATTAATTTTATTTTACATCCAGCAATGGTTGGATAGCGAAAACAGAAAAAGGGAGCACGTTCAAGGAGGTCGACCTCAGTGAAAAGGAGTGGGCCGACTACGATGAGAAACAGTCACAAACGGTCGGCGTCTATGAATTAAAATGGCAATTTCGAAGGATATAAGTTAATATTATAATAATATATATATAAACATGGGTAAATAAACTTTGTTTTTATATTATTTTATACATTTCTTAATTTATTCTAGTATTTATATGCATGTTTATATTATGCGTACATCTCGGTCAACGAGTCTGATAATTAACAAAAGTACAACATGCGGGGTTTATTTAGGATATGGCAACACTAAGTATGTTACGACGTTACACCTTAAGGACCTACTAGTATATACATACATCTGAATAAAAAGTGGTTATACAGCCGTATTTACTATGGCAAAATCCAAAACTGTAGGCGTTATCTTGAAGTATTGATAAAATAAATTGCTTAAAGCAGATAACCCTATATCATCTAGGAAATACAATTCCTAAAGTTGCCCGTTTCCTCAGACCTTTGAGGAAATAAAATTTAACGGAAAATCACATCATAAAATTTCTAGGGATAACTTGGCACTGCCATATTCTACGTTAAGTTTTTTTGGAAAGCCACATTTTTACTTTAACAGGGTAAAGTCTGAATCTTCGGTGGAACGAGCCAGAAATTTCTGGCCTAAGCTCTGCCATATGATGCATTTTTCATAAATTAGGAGATTGAAAAGAACTTCATTTTGCAGAGGTATGACGCATCGTGGGGCTGGCCACCACTCCATGGCTTTTGCTTGTTAATCCACTACTGGTAAGCGGTCAAAGCTGATGATGAGATTAGAGTTTAGCAACATTTTATACAAACACTCGTTTAAATATAAAGCCGTATTATCTTGTAACTATTAGGTTACTCATTTATTGCAAAGATGTATCATCAGTTTTATTTTTTCAAATAGGAGTGAATCAAACTAACAACGTACTTATACGTTATGTATCAACAGAAAACACGTTCACTGAGATTTTCATCTTCATGATTATTGTTAATGTTCTTATCAGTAACATCATCGGACAAAGTGCGTTATCTAATTTCTTAGCACATTGTTTCAAGCAGATAAATTTGTAGCCGTTTGTTTTGTTAATCTTCAAGCGACGGCCTCCTCTGGCAGCTATATTCAATAGCTGCTAATATCACCACAAAACATAATATTTACTCATGCCTATATGCATTCGTCTTACATAGTAATAAAACATCGTTGTTATTAAGAAAATATGTTAATTATGCTTTAACAGAATATTGTTGGCCAGAAGCGGGCCGTCTTTGGGCTCAGGCGAACTCCGCTAGGGTTTAAATTTGCCATTAACTTTGGTTATTAATTACATGTTGATATTTGATATAAGTAAAACCAAGGTAATGAAAAACATTTCGTCATTGATCAGATGAGAAAGTATAGTAGCAGATGCCTCGTCTAATAGACGTCCATTTCGAGAACATACTCGCTCATTTTATCGATCAAGCTTCCATAGGTTCGTGCAGAGTGGGACCCACTAGGAGATGTTATATCACTTGAGATTTCTAACTGTTTACTTATCTAGCGCTATTGATAGTAACCTAGAGTTAGGACTGTTCAGCTTCGGTCGCTAGCGGAAATATGTACGGCAGTAGTGAACGAAAATCACATTTGCTTCAATTCGCCTGCTTCTTGTTCTCAGTGACTAACTATATTTTTCACGAAATCAAGCTCAAGTTTTTTTTTGAGAACACAATACTGTTACAAAAGGGCAAAAGCTTCGTATTTTTAAATGTCAAAGTTGATGCCATCATCGTATAGCAACATTTTGTCTTGCTTTAGCATACATGAGCAGAAAATTAGATTTCTTTTTTGCTGTCGTGCATCCCGAAATATGCGTAGTTACGAAGTTATTATTCGTATTTGCCTTTTTCTACGTTAGGTGTACATGTGACCCAGCATAGGTTACCTTGTAACTTAAGAATATTTTTACTAAACTAATCTTACTTTTTAATATCAATAAATCAATATGTATTATTATTACATTGAACTCTTTCTGTTTATATATATAAGAATCATATATGTACTAAACTAATCTTACTTTTTAATATCAATAAATCAATATGTATTATTATTACATTAAACTCTTTCTGTTTATATATATAAGAATCATATAAGGTCCCGCTTGCGCACTTCTTATACGAATGCTATAAAATCGGGACTCTGTTAATGGCTATGGTTATGTCTATTTATCTGTAGGTATATGTTTTTTTTAACTGGTAGGGTGTTTTTTTTACATTTTTTTCGTTATTTTTCATTCGGTGCCTTAACAAAGGTCGCTACCATCGAAGGTGTCCTCCTCTGTCCCATTGACTTCACCCTGGCCTAGTTCAACGCCCGATGAACTTTGGCTAGTTGACTCTTTGGCCTTTTCGGCATGGATGTTACGAAGCTGTCTCGCCACCTTAGCCATCTCGGTGTCCAAATGTTTAAGAAAGGGATGGTTCAAAGCGTGTACGATTAATTTAGGCTCACGCTCGTCGAAGCCCTGTGCAAAGAACAAGTGTTTTTTTTAAGTAATTTATTCCATGGATGCTTTTCAAAACGCTAAATTGTCACTTTTTTTCGCACCAGCTGTACTCAGTTCTTCTTCTCATTCAGCTCAATACACCTTCTATTAATTAATGAAAAAAAAAGCATACTTCTCAGGTTATCTAACATTTTGCACAATATTTTAGTGCTAGCGAGCCAGATAGACATGTAGGGTGTTAAATAAAGTTGTTGCTAATACAAACAACTTTATCTGTGCTTAACAGATAAATGCTGGTTTATGCAGGACTCATTAGACCAAATGAATCCGGGCTTGTAAGAAAAAAGTGGAACACCGTAGAATAGTAACTAGTCGTACGGAAAGCGCGTAATGGAACCTTTCGAAATGGTTCCAATCATAACTGTGAATATATGAAAAAATTAAAAAGTCTTAACCCTTCATTCACCTTCAATAGGGTAGACATGATATCGTATTGCTCCTGATCAAGCCATCCCGAGCCATCCCTGAGGGCTTTCTGCGCAGCGATTTCGTCTCCACGAGCTATCTGAATGAGTATCTGATAAACGACAAGACGTCCTGACAGATCACCGCTGGTTCCGTCTTTCTCGTAGCATTCGCGTTGCCGAAGAACCATATTCAAAGCATCATCGTAACTGCCACGCACAAAATTTGTTGAAAGTTACTGATAGTTACAAAGAAGGTTCTCCATGTTTGCTCTGATCTATGTAGATGCGGGCAGTGGTTCTCATTAAACGTTGTATATGCAAGAATGCTGTAGCACTCACAACAGCGTTATTCTTATGACAACTATACTTACTCCTTGAGTTTAAGAGCGATTCGTAGAGCTGAATTATAAAACCCTCCGGCCTGTCGATTTTTTTCTTCCATGAGAGCAAGTTCCGCTGCTCGTTTGTAGAATGCGCGTGCGTCCTTCCAGTGTGGTTCATTTTGTTCTAATATTTTAGCCCCTTTTTCAAGGCATAGCGCCGCCGAATCCGGACTTCTGCAAGCCGATTTATCGATAAAATTATTATTAGGATCAAGTCTGGCTAGTTATAGCCACTTCTAGCCATTTGTTGCCCGATCTAATCGCACTAAAGTTTCAATTCTGTTTAATTTACGGGCTATTCACTGTTACTTTATTGTCTAAACACTAAAAATATCTCAGAAGGACTAAGCTGTTTCATCTGATCGTGCACTTGTTCTCTTACTGCTTAGTTTCAAATTACTCCATTCTTCACTAAGGGCTTTCCGATATTCTTCCTGTTGTTCCTTTCGGAGGCATTGCAGCTTGGTCAGTACTAAATAATTAGTTCGCAATTTTCAGTAATCCTAGGTGTTAACAAGTAATTTCTCAGGCATTCAAAAGCTTGGATTTGCCTTAGCACTTGAACCCTTACCATACATACCATTTTTAGTGGTGTACACCACAAACAACAACAAACCGTTTGCAGGACAGGCTTGTCAAAGGTAGAATAATGTTGAAATACTTAGAAACAATTCGTTTCTTGCAATTGCATTATTCAATATTAATATTTGTACTCTGTAAATAGTGTTTTTTGCAGTTTCGTGTATTTTGATCATACCACTGTATCACAGTTTTGAGCATATATATTCACCACAGCAGCGTCGCCGTCTACCACATAATTTAAGTGCTCGAAACAGTTTTTTTTTGCATTTGATAATTTCTTTTTGTATTTGAAATTTGAAGAAATTTATTGACCCAAAAACGAGGTTTTCATCATATATATAGACATATGTATGCAGGCTTTATTCGTTTCATTTGATATCACTCAAAAAAATATGCTGCAAATCTAGTATGTTATATATGCGTAACTAACTGTAATGTTTTAGATTTATGAGTATGTGCTCATTATACATATTTATTGTATTTAAGACAGTTTTCCTTATGCAATCTAATATGGTATTGATTGCCTTTGTTGCCGTTCCAAAGCAACATCGTACATAGAGAGAGATTAGTCCATTTATCTATAAAGAAGAGAGGTCTAAATGTACACCTGTGCTGGACAAAGAGATTGCTAGCCCGTTCAAAGAGCGCTGACACCTGCGGGTAGTCTTTCATATCTCTCGAGGTTAGAGCAGCTGCCTCGACCTGTTTTCCAGCAGAGTAAAATGAGCCTTGTTTAACGAAACAATCGGCGGCCTAAAATCAGACGACGTTTTTTCGTTAATTAGGAGGGTTTCCACGATATAAATGCATACGTACAAATCGTTGTTATGATTTGTCATCGGATTTTTCAAACACCTATTTGTTCGATACATTCGTACTAGCTACTTTATTTCAATAAAATATTGTCAAATTATATTCAAATTTTTTTAATCGGGCGAGAAAAACTTTCACCTTATACAGTAACAAATGTTATTTCAAAAACGATAAAAACACTTCTACTTTTGCCTGAAAACGTTCGGCAGTATAATAGTATTTAATTACTATCTCAGTTCACAACACCCGACCATACTATCTCTAAAAGCTACCAGTTTATTCACCATTCCTATATTCACTGTATACCTTCAGCAAAGCATCTCGCTGTTTTTCGTGTTGGCCACGAAGCAATTGCGCAGCTCTCTGATAACAATCAGCAGCCAGCTCGAAATTCGGCTGCCATTTAAAGAACGATGTCTTCAGATGCTTTTCCGCGTCTGCAAAACACGCTGCGATTTCCGCCTCCTTACTCATTGTGACAAATTGACTATCTGGGGTGTAGAATAAGATACAGCGAAAACAGAATTAAGTATATTAAACGCGTTGTTAGCGTCGCGATTTATGCTGCCTATGCTATGCCATAACATTCTGGACTACAGGTATCGACATGAATCTTCATGCAAAAAAGTACTGAGTCATTAAGGTGAAGGTTTCAGGATATAAGGACCAAGGCTTTAAATCTTTTAGATAGTTTAAAAACTACATTTCCCCATCAGATGTGCGCTTATATTAAATGTGGAACCGCGTATTCGCACAAGCTCAAGCAAACTCAAAACATATGTAGCAAGTTCTGCCTATTAGATTCTGCTAAATCCACAGACGAAAACGAACGTACTCTTTGCGTTCTAAGCTACTATTGTTTACGTACGATCTCGTGTGTACTATAGTACAGTCGATCATGATGTATATTGTAGTCATTGGCTAAGGCAAACTTCGAATATTCAATCTGAGTGAACAACTAGGGCATGCCAAACATCTCACATATAAGCGCAAAATACAACGTATAGTACAGAGGTTCCTTTATTGTCCCAGTGTTGTATTTTTTATCTGCTTACACGCTCCGCGAACTCAAAGCTTCTGTAGCTCAAGCTTCTAGCGAGGTGCCTCGCAAATAATAAAGTTGTGTGAGTTCGAATACTGCATCATACAGAAAGAGATGTAAACAGTTTATGTCTATTGGTCAGCCTTTGGTTGCAAACCGAGTATTGGCGACGTCAGATTAATTAAAAGACGATAGATGTATAGAACGGCAACTTTGCCCCTATGGATTATGCTGCTCGTTTTCGAAATAATCAACTACTTATTCCGACCAAAAGCATAAATCGTTTTCCACTATTCTTACCGCAGCAACACCAGAGTAGTAGTTCACACCTAACACTGTAGATACTTATAGATGGTTGCAGTTACTTTGTCAAATATTCGGCGGCGCCATGTTGCTGCGGAGTCTTGCTTATTTACAGCGAGCAAAATGGATCTAGTCTCCTCTTGAATGACGTTTATGGGAAGCTTATTTAAATAATCGATATAAAATGAAAAGTTTTTATGTCAAACAGGTTCGTTCAAGTGCACTGGGCAACTGAATAATAAAGAACGTCTGTACAAAACTCGGATAAGTTTCTTATTCTTTATAAGCCGAAGGTGATGCGATATTTTTATTTGTTCTGCATCTAGCTTGTCTGTGCGCTGAGGGTTTGTACTTCGATCGGGGTCACTGTGAACATAAGTAGCTTTTAGTGCAAAACTATGACGACCGAAGAAATAAAAATCGTGAAGGACCCGTTCCCCTCGCCAGTTGGGTTTGAAAAGTAAGTAACAGGCTTTGTGTCACTCAAAGAGTACCCTTATAAGGAGAAAGAGATTCTGCCCTTATTTTTGCAAGGGATACGAGCACTAGTACGATTACTGATGAGGTATTGTTTAGAGCAAGAAAATTTCGTTTTTTAAAGGTGCGACGCACAAGCAATGAGTTTTCTTTCCGTTATCATACAAACAGACTTTGAAATCCCTTGCATGTTAGTATGCGGGCGAAAGTCAATTTCTGTCAGGTACCTATATTTCGTGACCAAACAACAAAACGCTTTTACCAACGTTGACTTTCGAAAGATCCCCGTAAGATCAAATGTGTGTAGTGTACATAAAGATCTGCAGTTCTGAAAAGCAAACTCGATTATTGGCGTATCCATAAATAAAAGGCCGTCTTTTCCACTTAAAACTTAAAGGTGTATGAATTAAACAAAAAGTGGTAAAAAAATTACTTTCTAAATCTGTGAAACCAACATTTTTGCTGGAGTTGAGCACATAATAATATTACTCAGCCGCTACCGCGGTAGCTTGTCGGTCATTCAATGTAATGACGTCAAGCCACAACAATGTTTGAAAGTTCCAGTGTTGGGGGTTTCTAGATTAAGTCCTGCTGTCGACATATACATGTGCAGGATTCGAAGATGCAGGAATCGATTCAAGGGTTACAAGCTGATTATAGGATGGACGTCAAGGAGGCACCTGTTACTATGAATTCCATATAAATGGAAAAAAAGACGGCAGCAAGTTGGAATGTTTCGTATACATTATGCCTGTGTATTCATCTTCTCTTGCTGATTATAGATGGATTGCACGGTTGCGGAAATACCGATTTAAGGAAAAAAAGCCATCGTATTACGACTCACCTGCTGACAAAGATCTTTTAAAGAAGAGCGTCATACTTGGAAGAAGTGCTTTGGCTACTAGTGCATATATCGGTTTATGCGATGCGTTTTTAATTCGCGAATACACGCAGGTACGTAGGGAAGGACACGTAGTTCTGCAAGGTAGCAGTCCTACCGACCGTGCGGATACGTGATTTATGAATTTATGAGATACTCGCGAAAATTATGTTCAAGATTAGTTTATATGTTTTCGTCTTAGAGGGCCGGAATCAGCTCTGGTATTTCAACATGTTTATCTAATTTATTAAACGCCGATTGCGTAAAAAGATTATCGCTTTTAGCTTCTTGTTGAGTTTTGACTATAATGGTGGCGGTTATTAATATTGTTGTTAATTATATTGAGCGTTGTTACGATTGGCCTATTCTTTTTTCTGTCATTTCTAGTAAGTAAATATCTGAAAGGTCTATATTGTGACCAATTACATGTAATACTTCGCCAATTATATATTTTCATGTAGGCTGAATTGATCCCATAAAAGCACGCTGTTTTGTTGACGTTTATTTTTATTCAAATGAAATTCTAATATTATAAGAGGAGAGCACAGCCGTGCAGATCAATGTTATCGTACATACGCCAATCGTTTTTTTCTAAAAAAGGTAGGTCTTTATAGCAGACATTTTGTGGTATTCACGATGCCATTTTATACACTTAACGTAGAGGAAAAGGATGTGTTTTCTATGCTCTTTCGAATCAACTTTGAGTCGCATGCACAATTAAAGCTTGTCCTAACATAGCTTCGGTATATAATGTACGAAGTGTTTTTTCCTGAAATTCTGTTGAATCATTTAGTCTTTTAGCTATTTAGTAATATTAATGAGTTCATTGTTGTAGCAATAATCGAAGAATTTATATATTCCGAACATCTTAGGTGCTTCCGATCCTTTGGCGAGTTGCGTACTGGGGTGTACCAACCTTCGGTTCGTTCGGAGCTTTCATCCTCGGTAGGTTGGCGCTTTGGGTAACGATAGGAGCGCTGTTACCTTTATTCATTAACTATGAAAAACTTACTCTCTTATATTTAAGAACCAAGCGTATTAAGATCATGCCATGTCGAGTGACAGTAGCATTGCTATAGCCTGAGTTGGAATTGATGACGATGTAGTAATTGTTGCTGTCACTGTTTTTGTGATTGTTCTTATAGGGAACGCACTGGCTGTAAAAGCGAACGGCGGTAGAGACATGCCTGCATGTCACATTGCAGGTGCCTTAACCTGGAGTGCAGTGTGGGCAAGGTTCTTCAGGAGTCCTTCGTTATGTTGGATAGTTGGAGCACCACTAGCCGCCCTGATGTTCTATACCAAGGTTAGATGTCGTGTTCTTTCTATAATGCTATAATAGGTTAAGCTAATCGTTGAAGAGTACAATACGCACTTATCTTTTTAAACTGTGAAAAAGAAAATTGCCTTTGCTGATCAAAAAAGTAGGAGATATGCTATATTTCTTTTTAAGCCTTTTTTCATTCAAGATTTCAAGAGTGATCATGTACTCCTGGATATGGCAACCAATTATTCCTTGTGCAGCCCCTTACATGTTACCGCAAATTATGTTACAAAATGACATCTACCTATAACTATTTATCTTGACTACTTTCAACTGCGAAACTGTTTACTTCTTTGTTAGTTAATATCTATTTCCTTATAGGCTAGAAGACGGTTTTGTGATATGGAAGAAATCTGAGACAGCCTTTTCTCAACCGCTTTTATTATTACGCAGTAATATGTTGAAAAGTCGTTGATCAGAGTTGTTGTGTTTGCTACACGGTATCCACAACCACATATCAAGGAGGAAGCAGATGTGCGCGAAAAGCAATAAAAAATAGTTGCATATTTCGCAGTTTAGGTTTACGATAGGTATACTAAGCTAATTACTAATACTAATTAAAACGCTTCTGTAAAAAAAAGAGTAATGTACTATTATAATAATTATGTTATTATTATTATTTAATTTAAAAATTTGATTGTTTCAGCACGCGCGTGATAAAGGTCATATCTATAACTTCTTAGTTGGGGCGCCTGAAGTAACGACCTACTACGTAACAGATACTCCATATGAAATTCAGAAACTTAACTTGTCATTTCGGACTTACAACGCAGAGAAATATACGGAAGAAATTTAGAAGTTAGCTACTCTGTCTGTGCATGAAATGAACGAGCTTGTTCCATGCTAATGCGCTGATAAATGTCAATGTTTCTTGGCAGAAGACAGAGCTAATACGAATCAACAATTAAAACAGTCTTCAGTAGTTATAATGTCAATTGCATAGTTTAAGCGAGGTTAACCGCGAGGAAAGGTCGCATGAATAAATGGTGTTTTATTTAGCCCCACTGATTGCTTTTTAATTTATCTACAAATTATGGCAGGTAGGTAGCAAGGCATATCAATCGTGCAATTCTGGTTAATGAAACAAGCGTTCAAGTGCAGTTCATAAGGGAACTTGTCAATCATGCGCTATTTATCTCTGAATATAGCGAAAAATATGTCAGTGATTATGATTGACTTTTAGGTGCTTGTTTGTTTGTATTTTGTTGACGTCTTAGCTCTTTTTATTATAGCGAACCGCCAGCTTAGAATGAGCTGTCATAGGAATTCTAAAAATATAGATAGCTCGAAGTTTTTGAAAAACATCGAGTTCTAGAGAAGTGTAAAATTTTTAAAAAATTATGAAGAATCTATTGGCTATTTATTATACCCTAGGTAGCTTACGCTTGAATAACCGCCAAAGAACGAATTAGGAAAAAATATTTCTATATTGTAAAATGAGAGAGCAACTTTGGTCTAAAAATACTTCTATACGATAGATAATTAGATTAGATCATATTTAATAAATAGGTAATGGAAAAATAATAAAACCTAGATACAACAGGTAATAGATATTAGTAATGATTCAGATGCCCAAAGAATATACCCAGTCTCTTATTCAGTACATGGTTGAACGTCTTATGGAGATTCTAGCTGTAGATCGTTAAGGTTATGGAGATTTGTAAAAGCCTATGCCTTATGCAGCGCTGGTGAGTCGGATTGAGTAGATCAAACGCTTCTCCGTTGCAGTGACTCTACAAGGAACCAGAGAAGCACACGGAGATACTGGAAGAAAGGCGCCAGTGAAGAGCATTATAGAAGAAATGTTGAATTCGGCAGAATAATAAAGAGCAACAAGCAGGTTTTTCAAGGGGATGATGTGACAAAGGGAATAGCTATGAAAGCGATTTTTTTTTATCTATCCGGAACAGGTAATGAGAACAAACTAGTGAATAGAATATAGGTTGGCAAGCTACTGTAAACAGTTTCCAATAGAGAGTAAGCTACCAACGCCCAGCGTTTTAGCGGGTGCGAGTCCTATAGTATCAAGCAAATACTTCAGACGTAAAGATTGGCCTTCAGATAAACATTTAGCCCTTAGCCTTGTTAAAGAGGCAGTTCGAAGCCGGACATAGACATTTCGTATCATGCTGGGAATCAGCCGTCTAAAGATTGTTTAACGGCAGTACCGGATGTAAAGTTCGAAATATCTATTGGATTTCTAAGTGGTACTGCGCCGGATGCTGTATCTGCGCGCGCATATGTACGTTCGTGATAGTCATTTAGTTGTTGAAAACTACTATACGCGCCGTTTATTGCCGTTATCGTAGACTCGATAATGCGTTCTAGCCAGTACCGTTAGAGTAATGTCACTTTAGATATGAAGGACTACGTATAGAGGAACTACACAAACTCTGTATAAAGAAATGCGTTTATATAAAAAAATTCAAAACTGGAAAATAAACCGATGGTCTTTGTCGTCTACCTAGTAATGTATTAGCGCTGGCAGCGGCTGTCTGCCAGACTATGGTGTGCATCTTTGGTTTTTGTTTTTTTGGGGATTTTTGTTAATTATTTTTTAAGGGCATGTGCACAAATGCTAGGGGCTTAGTTCGACCAGTTTCCGGCCGGCTTTAGTTCTTCCCATAGTGTTCTCATGGGAAAATGGCGTCCTTTTTAGGGGCTCCATAGCGAGGGTGGTCATACTCGTCAAAAGCTTACGATTAGATAAGTTAGACTGTTTATACATGTTTTTAAATCTCAATTTAGTTTTTAGTGGTGAAATAGGACTAACGGCAACGGGAACACCGCTTCTTCGTCACTCGCGAAAAAAGTTGAAAACAAAGCGCCACACAATTTTCGTACAGTACTATGATAGTAGTTACGGACTTTGTCGTCTAGATGTGCTTTGTAGTTCAGTAGTGAAATTCGAGTCGCTGATAAGTGAACGGTTTATTTTTTAGCAGCGACGAAACTGCGCCACAGCCAAGCTGGGGCATCAGAATTTGAGTGTGGTGGTAGATATTGTTACTGCAGGAAAGCTGATGCATAACAGTGCATGCTTCACAACTTCTGCGTGGGACGAGCATAGGCGAGGTAACTTTCTGCGGAATCTTGTTGGCGATGTGTTCTCCTAATAAAATTACCTTCTACTTTTACGTGGATGTCTACGTAGAAGTGGAGGGTAATTTTTTACGAAAGCACGCACTTAGCACAATGACAACGACGATTACCAGCGTTGTCGTAAATATAGAGCCACCCCATTGTGGAAATGTATACAAAAGTCTTAATCACATATTACAAGCAAACTATAAAACTCATGTGCCTTATCTAAATATTTGGTCTGTCTACCTTGGTTCCAAAAATTTACCTGAGAAATGCTAATATAACAGAGCATCGAGGGGGGAAGGGGGACACTTCACTCTAAGTTCCACAACTGACAAGCAGATCTTGCAATTTGAATAAGCTGACAACTGAACGAACCCCGAAGCCCCCGACAATTGAAATTTGTTTTTTTTTTTAATGTGGGCTACAAATAAACATGTGATTTGTTTTGCGTTAAACAAGCAAAACTGCGATTAACAAAAAACTCGTCCGGCGAATTCTATTACCAAAAAATGCAATATAGATGTGATGAATAGACCTTTTGGAAAGACCTTGCTAAAATATGGTTTCTGAAAGAAGAAAATATATTAAGCATGAAAATATTATATAATAAATATAAATCGAGGATTGAGATAAGGAGATGATTGCCCGACATGGTTCACCACAAGCCCTCGATGAGATAGTGTAAGCAAGTGCCTGTTAGCCCTCGGATCTTTTGTAACTTCAAGAACCTTTATCTTCAAGACACAGAAAAAAGTTACAACCCGCAATGCCACAATCAATGGCCTATCAATCACAATCAAAGCTCGTCGTCCTCTTTTGTCACTTCTAGTACCTCGTACACTGTAAAAAAATAACACGCTTTTAAAATCGATAGTTTTTAGCAGCGTATGGATGCGGTATTTTGATTTTTGTAGCGGTTACATCTGGTATATTTGGCCTTCAGCTAATTTTGCGGCAGGGGTGAAGTGCTGAAGTAAGATAAAACCTTTTTACTACTCATGTTACGTGTCAAACTTACTTATTACATGATTCTGACCAAACAGCTTGATTTAATTCTTATTACTTGCGAAAGAAGAAAAAGGTGAACAGCTGATAACTAGACCTAAACAATATGAAACAATGAGCATCAACTGCGGTGCCTTTCATCCGGTTTCTTTATTCTATTAAGATGAGCCTGAGCGATACTCCTAATTGAAGCTATATATTATTGAAAACAATTAGACATTCTGAAGGAATCTAGGGATGCATGGGCCCATAACAAACAACCGTTCAAGGATATCAATGATCTTTGATCTGTGAGTTGGCAAAATTTCCTTTGGCTGTAAACGCAACAGTCGCGTTTTTTAGAACATTAGGCCTTTGCGGCGTGCAATTAATCATAGAGTTAAGTGGTCACAGTTGTAACTAAAGCGTTATAGTATATAGGAAAGAGCGTCATTATTTAAAAGGCCCCCTCAAGGCTATTAAAAACAAATGTTTGATCTCAAACACATTTTCCATACCGCCAAGGCAGCTTACATATGAACTTAATGGTATTGACAATTTATAAGTTTGTAATTTTCAAAACTAAATTTTACTCTATAAATTATTTGCAAAATGATCAAAAAATATCCATTCCCAAAGAACACATCTTAATTTACTTCACATGTATTCATTTATTCAAACGTTGGCAGCGAATATAATTAAAAACCCAGAACATTTGGTTCATGTTTATGCGAATTTCGTATACATTTCTAGCTTAAAAGATTTAGATAAATACTTCTTGAATGTTAACAGACTAATACTAACCACTTCTGCGTATTTCGCTTTTGTAAGATATCCGATTCTGATTTCGTTTTGCTTCCCGCCATAATTTGAACGTTTTGAAAGATTTCTTGTGTGCTCCGCCCGTAGGCTAATGTCATGTCTAGATGGTTGTCGTTAAAAGCAGCCGTCGCACAGATAGGAGCCTTTTCATTTGCTGTGTTAACCGCGTATGCATCGTGGCTGAGCACAGTTGCCGTTCAATAGGGCGAACTGGATGCTTTTGTTGTGTATGTGCTGATAAGTTGCAAATTTCATTAAAATTTTTACCGAGAAGGTATTGTTCTACGACGATGCCCGCGATCAAATTTTCATGAGGAGAATTGCCTATTGTTTCGCAAATAACCTTGTGCGATTGATTAGTCTTTCTGATAACATTCAATGTGTGGTTCTTTGTGGACTGTCGTTTCTTTTGCTGTAAATCCTTTGCTATAGTAAATCCGCATATCGTCATTACAGAATCTGATGAAAGAAGATAAAATGCAGTTCGTGACCACCGAGATATACGAGCCTGGATAGAGGGTATTGCGAGTTTTGAAGCGAAATCTGATGGTGAGTTACGCCACGTGTTTGGGCTGTGCATATCAATCCAAATAGTTATTTTAGTGAGGTCATTTTAAATTCCTATTTAAAAGCTTACGATTGTGTCCTATGATTAAAGAAATGCCTAAGAGCGGGGGCCCTTAAGACAGGTTAGTAACGCCTTTGCTTTTTAGGAAGTGATGGTTCTAACGCCTTTCGAGACGGGCAGTGCTGCAATGATCAATCTGATTATGAGATCTGAGGGCACCATTAATAGCTTCTTAGGGAGTCTTTGGTTTTGAATGTGTAAGAGTTAAAATGGGTATGATTGAATTCTAGGTATAAGCTATGGCGGTCATATATTCGGACTGACTGGAGATTGTGCAGTTGGCTAAGCCAAACTTCGAGAAATTGGTGGAGAAATTTAGTTGGTGACATAAGTACTATTTGGTGAGTAGATCAAAATAATTTTCAGTCAGTCTTAGTGTTCTTCCTCAGTGTTGTTGACAGTTAAAATTTTTCTAAGAGTATGAAAGCAGGCTGTTCAAATTCAAAGGGCATGAATGGACTGATTTTGTGGTCAGCTAGAGGTGCCTCGATGGAAGTAGAAAATCTGCGCCAAGCATAGTTTCTGGAGAACTTTTTTCTCATGGAGCTGATGTTTGGTTATAAAACGACTGCAGCAACTGAAAACTGCGTTGGGTCAGATTAGAAACACCAGCATCGTCTGTGCTAATGTCATGAAAGGTGAAAGGTCCAAACGTGTATTTTTGTGAAAACTAAGAACTGTTGAGTAAGCAATTGTGCTCACCTGTTCTGTGGAAAACGAGCCACATTGTAGAAAAAGCTATTGATTACAGTCATGAAGCAGTAATTGATGTTATTCGACGCCGAGATTGACGTTACAAATATAATTAACCCTTTACGCAGAATGAATAATGGTTTAGTAATGAGACAGGCGCAGGGTATATAGTCTGCAAGTGTGCTCACCCCTGCTGTCTAGCGAACAAATCTAGAGTAATAATGGGTTCCCATTTTCAGGGTAGGCTTCATGAGAATCGGCAACGGTGCGCATACCCATCGAATGACTACTCAACGTTTCTTGTGGTAAATAGTGGTATCCATAAATTTTGTCGTTAAAATTTCTTTACATTAAGATCTTGTATTACGAATGATGACACCTGGTCCGTGTTTATGACTGGCAGTGATTAGGCTCTAACCATTCCTGAACGCATGAAGATACTTTTGAGCGAAGCAGCAGATTAGGCGTCTAAAGATTAATACATGTACCCATTTGTTTCAGAAATTATCAGATAACTGCCATATGCAAAAAGTTTGCGTTACACCGTCAACAGGTCAGTTGATAAGGAGTTCGGGCGGGTGGAGTTAATCGTCAACTAAATCGTACACGTGAAATGATGTCATTAATAATCTGTCAATCCAATGAGTGGCTGTGATTAATCTCCAACTCTACCAACTCTGATCATGCGGTTATTCGATGACTTGTCACGTGGTCGCTCGGAAAGTATCTATAAAAATATTTATTTATTACAGGCGAGCACGGCGATTCTTTTAATTATTAGGAATGAGATCGCCTTTGACTCCGTAATTTATGTTGAAAATCCCAAGGTAAAGTAAAAATTGATTTTTTCGTCGTTGTTTTATCGATGGTGAGCTACAAGCCGATAGTCTTATAATAAAGGATGATTAGGTTCACTGTACAAACATTGATAGTAATATAGTCGAACATTTTGAGCTTGAGTCGAACATCGTGAGGAAAAACAAGGGACGTAATTCAGATTTCTCTGAAGATCTTTTCAGTATCTGATGTATGAAGCTTAACACTTTTCTGTCCCAAGTTGCAGTACACTACTACCAACTTACGAACTTTTCTTAGGAAACGATGTGCTTCGCCAGGACACTTCGGCACGGGGTAATCTATCTTATAGGTGGGTTTTTCATGTTTTACTACACCTAGATTATTTAGGATGATAACTCATGCACCACGCCGAGCATAGTGAGTGACAGAAATACGACATCAACTGACTCAAAAGAACTGTTGTACTTCATACCTCAGCTTCGTAGTAGTTAAAATAACTCAACCGTTTTACAGTTCTCCGAGCAAACTGGAATCGCGAAGATAAACTGCAATGGTTTTATGATGCAGAACATCTACGTTGATGGTAAGAAACCTTTCTTCCATTCTTGTGTGCATTACAGTGGCTTACTAATGTTATCATAGTTTATGATGAAGCATCTAAAGCCTGTAACCGACCCTAGAACCGCCGTGCCTGTACAAAGGCGGAACCCATCGGCGAGGGGTTGGAAAAGCCAGATAAACGCACATCGATGCTGTCTGAGTTTAGTTTCGCAGAACGCTAAATGTAGATTTTACGGTTTAGAGTTTTAGTCTGTAGCAAGTCATTGTATTGTTGATGATAGCTGGTAAACGCAAGTTTTTGATGATCGTTTCAGGCAGACACAACCGGTGGAAAATGAATTCATGTCTCGCTGTAAGTTTGATTTAAATTCATTCAGTTTATCGTAAGAGTATGATGATATTGATTACCGCCCCAGGCTGAGTCCCTCGTGAATGATCGGTTTTGTTACTGAATCCAGTTACACTACGAGTGATAACCGTGCTCTATAGCAAGCTCATAGTAAGTGAAGTCTTGGCTATTCTGTTTTTACAGGAAACTGTAGGTTGGGGAACGGGTTATCAAGCTGTAGGATACTATTGGACGAATTTACTCTGCTCTACTGCTGTTGCGTGTAAGTTCCATTTATTACGGTTGTATCACAAGTCATAATATGAATATCGCCGTATGGGTGTGAGTAGGTTCTCTCCAGAGAAGAGGCTTCTAATAAACCCGATCGGTAATAAAAACTCGGTCCATGGTTACCTGGTGGGGGCTATCCCTCACTGGGACTAGGTGACATGCGGAACAATTTAGTACCCTCAATTTTTTTTGTTATTAAATTGAATAGTTGTTGCGAAGAAGTTGCGCAGATCTCTTCGATGCTTATGATGAAAAATACAACATTCAGACTAGAGTCGCTGAACAAACGTTGATGCTAAACGACTTTCTGAAAATATAGGAATCAGGAACTGTGTGAAACGTCGTACATTTATTACTAGAGCTAGTTTCTCATTGTGTTAAACGTCCTACATTTATTACGGAGTTAATTTCTCATTACAGGTAATAGCTACCATGGATGTGGCCGAGCTGGGCTGACTGCGGGTTCCCTCAGATGTAAACGTAGTGGTAGAGGAATGTGAATGTACTAGCAGAGTATCTGTAAGTTGCCGGTCTCTCAATTTATTAAGGCAATATAGTGAAATTTCCTCCAGAAAAGGAATAGGGGTGACAAAAGTAAATATACTTCAGCGTACTTTATTATTATTAAGTATTAAGTTTACTTAACATTTTTCAGGTCTCGTATCTGGAACTGAAAAAGCCTATCCACGACATCCGAGGACTTGGTTTTTTAAGGTATGTAATTGACCTATTTATTACTCATATCTATGACATATCTATGACATATGTGATGCCTATACATCTTTCGGGTCCTAATTACTTTGCGGACAACATAATCCCTTCTGATATGAAAACGAAAGATACTAGTAGTTATATGAAGCGCGCGCTTTAATCCTCTGATTGTTTACATGCTTTGCTCTAGGTGCTTTCTCGCCATCCGTTCGAGTGCCTATCCGACTCTTCGTTATCATTCAACGCAATTAGTATGTGTACATTACCGCCAAGCTTATCGTGTCAAACCCGTTTGCTTTTCTATTACCAAAGCATTCAAGGTACTTCCAGCACCCGTTTGCTTTTCTATTACCAAAGCATTCAAGGCACTTCCAGCAGTGCTTCGTTCCTTTAGCAAGCAAACCGGGCAGTGCATTGTGTTAATATCGTGCTTTTGGTGTGTACGGACGGTAAGAATTTCGAGACAGACGGGAGAACCTTGGGAAATTTCTCGTAAGGACTCCCCGCCGTGCTGCGGATCTTTGCCGGTTTTTGGGAAACTTTATTGAAACACGTGAAACAAAAGGGCGTGCGTTCGTGGATTCATGCATTCGTAACGCCTCACAGATCGCTATCTATCGCGCAAACTATCTATATTGCCTCAACGTCCATATTCACCAAGGTTCATGTTGCGTGTCACTTCGAAAGTTTCAGAAAACGTTTCTGGACGTCAAATTGATGATTGACACATGCGCAACTGACAGAGCGGATCATACGTACTACATACGTACACAAAGGGCTTTGTTCAGAGGTCTAATCGTCACCGATGAGTAGGTGAGTAATTAACAGAACTTCGTGTAATGACTTTAGTGATGATTCATCAAGACGGGACCGATAATTTTGTGGACAACTTACCCACCTGAGCCATAGTCAATGAAATGTTGATTCAGAATGAAATATTTCAAGAATTCTAATTATTACTTCTTAAGTCTCCTGATTTCAGATATTATGGCACATGATTGTTGATTAGGTGCTGTACTAGGAAAGGTATTATGGCACATGATGGTTGATTAGGTGCTGTACTAGGAAAGGTAAGCATTGCGCTTAACTTAATTGTAACGTACGACACCTCTTATGACGAAGAACTCACTCCGAAATATCATGTGGACCCACATACCTACATTATCTGAAAAAGCCGGTTTTCAAGTTCATGGTGGTTTATAGTGTATACGTACAAAGTTTTGGTACTTACAGGTGTTGCAACTCAGAAAATGAAGTCAGCGCCATTTTTTGAGGTAAGTTCGATTTTCTAGAAAAATCATTTTTCATTGATTTGTCGTAATGATGATTCACCTAGCTCACTCTGAAACTAACAATGTAGATCTTCACACCTACATTATCTGAAACAAAGCGGTTTTCTGCAAACATTCTGTGCGAATTTCAACCGATCACATAGTAACATGTTATTCCTCCTGGTATTTCTCGACAGGTTCATCTAAAGACCGAGGTGCTCTCCGAATTTATAACTACAATGTATTTTTAAGGTGAGGAAGTTTCCAAAATCCCGTTAAGAAGCATTGCACAACGGCCTCTACAGGGCTGGTAGTAGCACTTAACGGGTAACAAGGTACTCGCCCCGTACCAAGCCTGGGATTCATGTGGTCGTTGGGCATGTCTGGCGGCGGATAAAATTGGCGTAAAATTGAATAGTGTAAAACGCACTATTGTGTTGCAGGGCGGTCTTCTGTTATGAATGGTCCTGTGTCAAAAAGAGTGCTAGATAAAGTCGGGTTGTTCTGGCATGTGTTCGAAAAACCCTTCCGATTCATCATGAAACGGAATGTACAAACGATCGCATATATGCGCTGAAATGAAAGTATTGATCTTGCTGTCTGAAAGATTAAGCTGAAACGCGCCAGTTGTCCTACTACGCATCTTGCTTACCCCAGATTAAGGCAATTATGCGTGGTCTGGAAAATTACATGGTGCCACATGAATAACCGTCTAGAGTCAGCTGATAAGACTGCAAAGTCTCTATCGTGTTACTGGCGGCCGACAGTTTTATTCCTTATTTAGCTGCAAAACCATAAAATTGAATTAGAACTAATTGCACGTTTTACTCGGTTTCGGTATCGTTTACAGGGTTTTGCAGAAGTGGTGTTTCACAGCATCGGACCCTACAGGCGCTTAACCGAGGACCCGTATCGAAAAAAACTTTCATCAGCGCCTACAGGCGCTTAACCGAGGACTCGTATCGAAAAAAACTTGTGACTGTAAACAATAAATCGTCAAACAAATTATTCTGAAAATACCTGGAAAATGAATACCATGAATAATGGAGAATGAATGGTGAAGCTTTATTTTCTTGAGGCCATACTTCTGCGAAAATTTATCAGCGGAAGAATTAAGCAAGGTCTTGATGAAGTGAATAATCGTAGGTGAATGGTGCGGGCAAGAAGGGAGTTTGATTGTACATCGTAGACCAACGATAAGGTGGAAACGATTGTTTAGGAACTTAGTCGCGATCGAGAAAATAAAGCAACAAATACAATCCACTTGTTCGTTCGACAACCAAAGCACACACTTTACCTGAGTCTAGTAATGACTAAGGAATATCCAAAATTGGCTTTCCGTGAGCCATGTAGTGCCTTTCTTGGGACACGACTGGTGGGCGAGTATTGTGTTCTAGTTAATCGATAATGGCATATGTTCGGTGTATATGGCTGTTCGTAAGCTGCCAAAGCGTTAATAAAACTCATTAGAATTAGCCCAGCTAATGCAGTCTTTATTCGAAATCTGTTTATATGTTTGTTGGTATCAGGAACGGCATCCCGTAGGTAACATTTCTCTTGTGCGGAATTCTCTCTGTCCTTACGACTACACTGTAAATAAACCGTTTTTGCGTGCCTAGTACAAGTAGGTAGCGGAAATAACTCGTTCACGCACTTCCTCTTATAACCAGATGCACCAAAATACACATGCGTACAACTGATGTAAAATGTCACTTGGTTCAGTGCCAATATAGAATTGTGACCTTGTTTTCGCTAAGCAATCCCACTTATGCAATCAAGTATCACCAGCTTGCTCGTAACGAGAAACGAGAGTGGGAATTTGTAAGGTAAATGTCGCGCGATAGTCTTGAATCTGGGACTCCTTTTTACATACATCGTACGGAGTTCTTCAATTTAAATATCGAATATCTTAAGTGCCTAAAAGTGCCTAAATAAGAACAAGCACTATTCATATTTTTCCGGTCTCAATCGTTCCCAAAGAAAGAAATGCGCTAAAGAAATTCTTATTGCATTAAAAATCCAAATTATGATAACACATACATCGAATTTCTTTGCATCTGTAGGGCTTCATTACTACATCGAAAACAATATTTTATGAAGATCACTACTCTGGCTTTTATTGCACGGCAATTTTTCTATCCACTCGAAGGTCAAATGACTTCACGCTATTTATTTTCATTATATTTACTTAGATAACATTTTATTAACATGCTGCTCCTTTCGCTCCTGATCTTCTTCCTCGCTACTGTATGTTTCCACTATTTTCAACATGTGCTTTTATGTTAACATTCTTTCGTTTGATTTCGCTCAAGTGAAAACTGCAATTAGTTAATTTTAATATTTTCTTTTGGCTTGTACTTGTATTCTACAGGGATGTGGTACGTCATGTTACCGTAGTTCCATTGATAATTTAGATCATATGGACTGCAATGCACATATAATTGATCAATCCCTTCATTCATGTGGTAGTCAGGGGGAGCGGTCTTGTAAATTTTCTCCCCATAGAATGTGCCGACCTAAAAAACAGAAAAGGCAATGCTTAGTTTATAGATTTTGTTTTATCACTGAGCATATATTTAGATATATGCTAATGCTTTCCATTCATTTGACAATAAAAAAATATAAATGTAATGTGGCGGAAAAGGTTTCATACTAATTGACTCAATGTTTGTGGCTACACTGAAATAAAAAAAATGCATGTACTTGGTAGACGCATCAAGCTGCTTTAACTACCATTCGAATGTTAATGGTTGGTTGGTTAGTTTTTTTGGTTGCTGATATTAAGGGAACGCGCATCCGTTTCAGCAGATAGTCATATTTAGGATCAATACGATGATTTGACGGACATTCTTCCTCTCTTAGTTTCGTTTAGATTACTTTGGCTGACAGATCTATTCGTTGGCACAGATTATATGACACGTAGTGTCCCGTGTGCAATATGTTTCTATACAGAGCGTCCGCAAAGGTCACTGTGCGTAGAGTACCTTCTTTGAGCTCTCCTTACGATTCTACGAGTAACTTTGTTCGCAAATGCGATGATTTTTTTAGTGAATCTGATGCAAGCAATGTTTTTTGAAATACAACAATTACCTTACGTCCGAATCTATAAGTTCACATTATGGTATAAAAATGTTCACAGCCTAGTCACTATGAAAGTAATCGATTGCACAATTTGGCTCTTCAATGTATCTATAAACGATATTACCCACAACTGACATGGACTATCGATATCCAAAACGAACGCAAATGTTGCTATCTCTGAGGTAAATTAGAGGAAAGCAAATCCTTTTAATAGCGCTACATAGGCCGCGTTTGTAGCTTGTAGTGCTCTCTGTTATGCTATAGGGTAGTATGCTATTACGTACTTCCCATTCGGGCACATCCTTCATGATTAGCTTCTCTTCTTCGTAGTTCTTGCGTATGTGCTTCAAATAGGCACGATCCCTTTCAGCGACTAGGAACGGCTGAAGGGACACAAACACGTCGTTCGTTTCCAGGTTCCAAAGTCTTAGTCTGTCTCTGTTTTTAAGATACTCTTTGTACATGATCAAAGTGGCTAGTAGAGAGCCTCCAATCATATACGGGCTTTTGAAGTAGCTTCTAGGGAGGATACGCTCAATGCTGATCTTGGCGTAGCCCCCTGGTGGGGGCATATCCTGCTTGTAGCGTGTCTGAGCCATTGCTTTCCGATCTCAAAAAATCAACACCAGCTTTTTATTTTTGTAGTTGCTCTCTACACAAAGCAAACACACTTGACGGGAGTTCGCAGTAAGCGCCAGCTACAAGGGCACTGCGGTGATAAACAGTTGGTGGTAATTTCGAAACCACTAAAAGTATTTACAAACAAACGGCGCCTGAGTCTGCGGACGATTTTGAGGCCCTATGACGCAATATCCAGTTTGTACCTCTATGTTGAACCTTCATTTCAATGTATTTATTGTACCTATTATGATTCGGCAATGACCCTAATTTTACCAAAATTTTGAGTGAAATGTGATTTGATTTTCTGTTGCTTAAAAACACACTGTAAGCGAAGTTTCAATTGTCAGTCTTTTAACAGAAGTAATAGTTTTGGAAAAATTATTTTTTGTAAAACAACAATTGCTGTTTCTTTTCTGGAAACACACGTCTTGTTTCCGAATTTTTCAACCTATAGGTTAAAATAATACTTCGAACACTTCTTCGATTTTTTATATTAAAATTCTTCTGGCATCACAACTGGCATCGAAAACTGTTGCTACAAAGTAACACTCCAGTCTTATCTGAAGCCTTTTTATGATCCTTCTCTATACCGAAACCCGATTTAAAACAAGTAAGGACCACTCAAAAATAGTTTAAAAAGTTCCTAGTTTTAAAAATTGTGTAATGGACTATATCCAAAAACAGCACAAGACCGATTTGCTTTGTTAAAGAAAGCATTTTTCCTGTCAATACCCATTATGTCGTTGGTTCTATACGCTTTGTTAGCATTGCGTATGTCTGTACTGAATGTTTTGATCACTTTAGGAGGCGGAAGGTATTTTGCATAATGCGGGCGGATATAGCACCAGTCCCAACGCAAATTTGCAGAGTTTTAAATTACAGAAAGAAACAGCTAAAAGTTATTATATGTCGTGAAATAGACGGCAAAAATAAAAGAGAGTACACTAAGGCTAAGTTTTTTTTGTTTATTCATAATTTCAATGATAATGTTCAAGTTTAGGCTGCGTAGAGCACACAGCGGCATATTAAATCAAACCTAAATCTGTCGTGTAATGCCCTAAATATTTTTACAGTGTGACTAGAAAATCAGATTATACGAAAAAATATTGCTTCAAGTTCCCTCATGAAAGAGGTGTGAATGCGTGCCCATCCTTCTTTTTGGTAGTATTCGTATCTCTTCTATTCAAACTAGGTATTGATTCTTAATTTTTGTCTTCATGGCTGTTTTACAGCAATCCAGTAAGTTGAATTTTTGACCAAGACCGGAGAGTTTCGAGCATATTAATGGGCATCGAACGTTCTACAGACAAGCCGCTATGTTAGCATCACAGAAAGTAGAAATGCTTTGAACCAGAACTTACAGTAACTGGGATGTACTATGTTAGTCTCGGACTTCCGTATTGGCATATTCTGGCTTGAACTATAACAGAATTGGATAACAAGCTTTTCTGTCAGCCTTGCAAAATAATCTCAGGACATGCTTGCGATTTATAGCTCATGCGATATCGTAGATGTTCAAAACCCAGCCCATCACTGTTTCAAGATCTTCCCGGAAGTAGAAATCCACATACAAAAGGCTTTAAAAAACTTTTCTTTGTTTTGTATCTGCTCATTATTGCACAAGCTATGTGTATGTCTGAATGAGCTGGTAGAATCTTCGGAACCGCCTCGTTACCAGCCAACGTTATTAAGTTTTCAATATAACTGTGATCATTTTTCTCAAGATTAGTATTGCGTTTGACCAAACATTGGCAACTACGAAATTCCCTGAAATTTAGTGTTTAACAAAACTGTTTCCGCAAGCTTGTAAAAAGAATAAGTTGGGTTTCGCCTTGAATAAAGGACTATAAACATTGTTGTATATTTCCTGAACTACATTACTGTCTGTTCTAAACGGGACACTTTCAGCTTTATGTGAGCTGGACGCGCAAACGAATGCCTTATCGCCTTGACTATCACCTATTATTATTTGATTTTTTTTCGCAGATTTCTTGAGAACTATATTTTGTCGGCCTGCATATTCTCATGTATATTCACTCCGAAACAAAAAATCGCAAATAGCACGTTTTCGAGTCGCTTAACGTCTCGCTAGGCTTCTGGCCTATTGCTGGAATTATTATCAAATCCGAAGTTTTTAATAACAGCACACAATCCACGTTTGGTCTTCGTCATTAGATAGACATTGTCACTTCTGATGAAAACTCAAGCTGTATTCACTGTCATTTCTTGAGTTTCCTTTCTATTTAATTTTTCTATTTATGTATTCCTGATTACGGTTTCGTTAGGATTTTCCTTCTCGTCTCGCTGTTTGGTTCCTTTTCTGTTGCCCCTTAGACAGCAAAAGTACTGAAACAAAATTCTGCAGTACCCAACGCAGATGAAGGATAATTAATTCTATAATCGTTGCGCATTTTTTTTTAAATGCGTCATATCTGATTTTTGTATTATTTTCATAATTTTTTTTCATTCATTTGACTATCGTTTTGAGATAAATACACTAGCGTATGCGATACTGTAGCTAAACGGCTATTAAGTTTTCGCGATACCAAATAAATATAGATAATTTGGAGATAGGTTTGTCAGCTAACGAACCAAGACTAGTCTGTAATGTGAATTATGTTTGTTAGAATAGTAAACGTCTTTTTTATATGCAGTCAAGTACAAGGGAAGTATCCCCTAAATGAACTTATATTTAAATTCATCTGCTTTCCGTAATCAACAAGAATATGCAATATTAGTTGTGGCCCTAAGGAGCGGAGAAACAAATGTTGTATTGAGAGTGTTCTCCGTAGCTAAGCGTTCGTAAGTAGCATTGGTTGCAGAAATGGCTATTCCTTTTAATATAGAAGCTTCTGCGAGCTCCTGCAAAAATTAAAATAAGGCAAAGCTAAGGAAATCATAATGTTGCATGCGTAACAATATGAATCTGTTATATTCATACGCAAAAGAACATACACGTAGCCATTTTTCAAACCTAGTAGTACTTACCCTATCTAATTTAATAATAATAGTTCCGACCTAATCAAATTACTAGGCATAAGTATTTGTTTCTACTTCGTAATGAGGACAAAACCAAAGCATATTAAACTTATGTTGGTGTTGCAGATAAAATGTAAGTTGTGTTGCTTAGTTGTTAAATGTTCATAAGTTTGCCCCTAGCAACAACTATTAGCGGCATCCGAGTTCATTCTACTACTTAGCTAATAGCCTTATTACGAGTTACCAAGGCGGTCTTTTTAACATACACAAACATGAAATAGATATGCTCCTGGCATTTAATGAATACCGTGTTTTTATTTCGAAATCATTACGTACTCTCCAAACGAGGTCTAAAGCATATAGCGGTTTATTTTTGGCTAGCATTATATTGACGTCTAGAAATATGTATGTGGAACTTCAACCAATGCTGATTGTAGTTCACATCAATGCACAGTATACAATATATAACTTCTTTATTCACACATTATTATACACTATATATTATAACATTAACTTGGTTGATGAATTCACGCAGGCAGATACCATTCTGTTCGCCTTTGTCTTGATTGAGTACTGGGTCACGCTGTTGTTCTAGTTTACTTGCATTTTAAAATGCGGTATTTCACATTGTGCGTCATGTAATATAAAAGATATCAGGAACTAACATTTTTCATTAGTATGGTAAATTTAGAATTGTAATTAAAAGTAAAAATTAAGCTATCTACCTATTTCTTATTTTTCGCTGGTATATCAGCCGCTGACGCCAGCAGCCAAAGCATCATACAATAGCAGAATATTCACTTAGCAGGAAACATCGCCTGATAGCTGGCAGAGAAAACAAACGATGAGCGCACCCTTCACGAGTAACAGTTAAAATTTCGGTTAATTGTTTACATCACGTATAGAGAAAAAAAAAAGCAGATAAGGCCACATATATGGATATACACGCGGATCAAAAGAGCGGCGAGATAGGCACTAATTTTTTAATTAAAGCAATAATTTGTGCTATCTAGCCTCGGCTTGACGCGAATACCCTGCACTGAAAGCCTTTCAAGGAAGGAAAACAAACTTCATGTTTTAAGACACAACAAATTTTGATTTGAACAGTTCTTACACTGTGTGACGCGGATTATGCCAAACTGATAAAGAGAGCACCGTAGCTCTTAGCAGACAGGCGTAGGCAGGTATGAACATGCCTATTTATTGAGCAAATTCATGGAACTCAAGTGATCTCTATAAGCGACATCAGAAAAAATGCAGAAGGCGATTTGAAGTTTGACCTTAAGGTAAAGGCCATACATGGATGAATGTTCCCGAATGTTGGAAAGCTACATTTCAGATAATGGCATCAGATCTCAAGGGAGAAAGTATACCACCTGGTCGAAAAAAGGCGTTTTCCAAGAGAATTTCATTTCAAAGGCAGGCTTGGTGCTCGTGCTTAAATCGCGTGATAAAATGAGTCCATCAGCTTACCGCCCTAGCTGCCTGCTTCAAATTCTGTTGAAGATTATATAGAGTAACAGTTTAGAGGCTAGAGCAAGAACTATAAAAAAGACAGATCTATAGCAAATCTGAATCTTTTTTTCACTTTAATATCTCTATTCCAGATAACGATATCTGTCTGTCCGCTCATCTGTCCGTCCGAAAATGAGATCTGCTTTTGTACAAATTATTTCGGCTTGTCTGCAGCTGTTCGTTCATGTTTCTACTTTCATTTTTTCGGGGTTGACTTGTGCTTTGATTTTGGTAGTGTTTTTTTGGCTTTTCTACCTCTTCTATCAAAATGAGAGTCGAAAATTTGGCTAGAGGTTTATATAGTACTTGTTATACTTGTTTCTGCTCTTAGCTAATAGATACTGACGTATCAGTCTGAAATGCTATATATATATATATATATATATATATATGCATGTACATGTTCTTGAAAATTTCTCATACATGTAAATTGCAGAGTTGTAGCGGCTCACAACGGCTACATTTTGCTGTAATCTTGTGTGGGAATTCCTTTTCAGGAAACCTTGAAAAAACTTCGGTAAGCAAGATACCTGTGTTTTTGACGGTTTATCTCTAAATGTCGATACATTTTGGCTATTTTAGCTAATATGCAATACTTTTATTATGAGTATCTAAATAAAAGTGGAAGAAATCTTATTTTTGCATTCATTTGT